ACGATGACCGTTTACGGAGATTTTTCACGGTCCTCGTTTACGACGATCGTATTTCATCGTATAACTTCGTTTACGGCAACAGTAAACGACTACAAAATACGGTCGCCGTTTTTCACCGTGAATGATAGGTATACGGCCGTTTACGGCTCAGGTTGATCGACCTGGGATGTCTCGCCAAGAGGTGTTTCAGGAATAAATTTCAGACTTATGGTATTATCCAGTGAGGAGATCTGAACGGACAAATGTTAGCAAAAGAGTGAATTTTCCCTACATTGGTGCGATGTATAGAATGCCAAGAGTTCAATTTTTGAAGCTGAAATTGATTCAGGGTATGGACCTTAGTGACATGTAATTCGGCAGAAAATTTCAAGTGGATTGAATGAATCCTTCTTGAGATATTGCGTATCCAAAACCGCATTTCGAGAAATTGAAACTTGAAACTTGACAGTCGAAATTTCAGTTGAATTCAAGTTTCAAGTTCGACATATATGAAGTCAATTCACAAACTGATTTTGAAATACTTGGGAATATGTGTCATTGCTTAGTCATAGAATAACTTAATAAATTTCAACGTTAGAAAGAACAAACCGTTAGTAAAATAAATGTGTGTTAAGGTATTAGTATCATGTCATGAAAATTTGGATCAACTTTGGATGAAGATTAAATTAGCTTCCATTGATTGTTTTTCTTTCAGTTAGTTTGCTTTGTCGTCTTGATTTTAATTGAAGATTATGAGGAAAAAAAAGGTCACATATAGACAGAACAATGGTGCTCAAGCCGGTAGACATTGCTCTTATAAATATATGCTCGTCGCGACAATATAATCTTACCTACTTTTTTACTTAGAAGTTGATAACAGAACAACGTATGGTCATAATATTGCATTTATAAAAGAATTAAGTTGAAGTAAGAAATTATTTTATTTTTTTATTATATTATTGAAATAGAAAGTAAAAAAGAATATACGAATATTTAGGTACAGAAAATTTTCAATGAATTTATTATGTTATTTAATATTTATTTTGTCTATTCAACGAATAGTTGGATCTGATTTAGTTTTAAGTAAGTATTGAAAACATATCATTAAAACTAAGTAAAATATAGACTAAAAAAAGATTCCTATGCAGATTTTCATCTTCAAAACTGGACAAATCCATGTGAACCAAATCCATGTCGAGCTGGAACATGTGAAATTATTTCAAAAATAAATTTTAATTGTCATTGTATTTCGGTAAGTTTTCAAAAACTTTTATAATTGAATTTTCTAATAATTAGAATTAAAAAAAAAGTATGTTTATGGTCAATTATGTGAAAAATTAAATTATTCACAACAACCATGTGACAGTAATCCATGTTATAATCAAGGTTTATGTTCACCAATATCTCCAAGAGATTCTCCAACAAATAGTAGTTTTATATGTCTTTGTCCTCCACAACATTCTGGAAAATATTGTCAAGAAAATGTTGGTGAATGTTCTTGTTTAAATGGTGGAACTTGTTATAATAGTAGGAATTCGTTTAGCTTCTTTTTTTTATATAAGTTTGTTATTTTTATTTCATTTCTTCAAGTATCTTATGATGGATATAGATGTTCATGTCCGTCGATGTTTACTGGTCCAGTTTGTGAACATGATTTTCGAAATGAAACATTTTGTAGTCATTCTCCATGTAAAAATAATGGTACATGCATTTTAATTGAATCATCAGCTGGAGTTTGTTTATGTCAACCTGGATATGTAGGAGAATTATGTGAAAAACATGTTTCTTTTTGTCATCAAAATCCATGTAGAAATAATGGTTTGTTTTTCTTTCAATACGTGAAAAAAATAAATAAATAAATCAAAAAAAGAAAATTTAATTTCTAGGTACATGTGTTCCATTGTCTGGCGTTGATGGTCAATGTCGCTGCCAACCAGGTTATTCAGGTTCTCTGTGTGAACAAGTTCAAACAACATTCTGCTCAAATAATCCTTGTCGAAACGGATCAACTTGTATTGTATTAAATCATACAGGCGATGGATTTTGCTTATGTTCAAACGATTATGCTGGACCTTATTGTGAGTATATAACACCAACAGCGTGTAAAAAACGTTGTAATAAAAACCAAGGAAAATGTGCTCTAATTGATAATAAATATGGCAGATGCTTATGCCCAAAAGATGTTACAGGACCGTATTGTGACATACCACTTCATTCTTGTGCACCAAATCCTTGTGGTCAGTTTTAAGAAATAAACATCTTATTTATCTTAATATAAAAGACAATTTTAATTTAGAAAATAATGGAATATGTATGCATGAAATGTCAAGTCAATCATATAAATGTTTATGTACATTTGGATATTCAGGTGTAAATTGTTCGGAAAATTTAAATAAATCATTTTGTTCATCAAATCCTTGTATGAATAATGGAACATGTCTTCAATCACCAACAACTGCTGATGGTATATGTCGATGTCAAGAAGGTTTTTCAGGAATATTTTGTAATGAAATAGTTAAGTGTGGAAATGAAAAATGTCAATATCCAAAACAAGTTTGCTTAGCTGAAAGTTGTGTTAATGTTACAGGTGAACTCTATTGTCTTTTACATGAATGTCAACATGGGGGAAAATGTAATCCTATGACACGACAATGTCAATGTGAAAAAGGGTTTGCTGGTATTAAATGTGAGTTAAGAACAATACTTTGTGATCAAATGAATAATGTCTGTCAAAATAATGGAACTTGTTTATCAATAGAAAATCATTGTGTTTGTACAAATTTTTATACTGGAAAATATTGTGAAATTCTAATCGAACAAAATTGATCTCAACAAATTAAACATTATTTTATCGATAGTATATTGTAAAATTTCTTTTCTTTTGTTAATCGCATGTCAATATAAGAAATTTCAATGTAGTTTTTACTTCAAAATTATAATTACTCGAAGAAATCTCAACAAAAATAAATGACTGAAATTTCAGTTTTCACGAAAAATATTTATTTTGCATTTATGAATAATTAAAAGAAGTTTTTTTCTCTTCTACGATTAATGTGAATTTATGAACGAATAAAAGCAAACCAGTTGTAAGAGACAGTTTTTTGACAATTATAGTTGTATTTAATATTTTCTAGAATTATAACCATAAGAAATTGGTAGTTCATGTTAGGTTAGAAGAAAGTACTTATCGATAAATCATTTATACGTAATCGCATATCAATAACATCTGTCATCGTCTGCAATGAAGAAAATATATTATTTAGGATATCTATCACGTCTTGAATGTCTCGTTGATAAGATGTCTGTCATCTCTTTTGATGAACTATCGATTAAGATGTCTGTCACGTTTATGACAACAGAAGATAAATTCAAATTTCTCATTTCAATACTTGTTTTAGATCGTAATCCATAGAAAAAAATATGCTATATAATTTCATTAAGTAATTGAAAAGTGAACAATAGATTCTGTTGAGAAATTCTGCATCAATTCTTTTATATTATTCATTTGATTTAATGATAAGTTTATGGATGAGAAAAGAAAAAAAGACTTTCTTTCTAATATTTTCGAATATAATTGAATAATTTAAACTCTTTATTGACGTGTGCAATCAGCAATGCATGATATTGCTATTGACTACAAATATCTAGGACTAATCATAAATGAAGCAACTAATCAAAGTTATGAATAAAACAAAATCGACTCAACTTCGGATGAACAAGGTCATATCGAGAGAAAAAAGGCATCACACTGCACGCGGGGTTATAATAAAAACAAAAAACGACTAAGAAAACAACCGGACAAATACTGCGGTTCATTTCTTGTTTGTTGACTTCTCAATAGAAGTTATTTGTTTTATTGATTTGAAGCTTTGCTAGTTTCTCCACTTTCTAAGATTATCAAGAAACAACCATTCATTATTACATCTAAGTAAATAGATTTTCTCACCTTATTCAGTTTTACCAGATGATGCTGATTGACCTAGACAAATAAAAAACGAAAAATAATGTTTCTTTTTAATAAAGCGTTTCAATAGGAAACCTTCTGGAGTAGATGCTTGTTGATTGACATCAACTGTAGAAGTATCAAAGCCGAGTGTTGCTCTATTTGTTTTTTTTAAATAAAAAAGAAAATGAAAAAAAAGAAAAGCTAAAATAAAAAACAAACTGAGTATTTTGTTGTGATGGATGATATTGTTGCGGTTGCTGATGAGCAATATTTTTTTCTAATTGTTCTTGAATATTAGTAAAAGAATCTCGTCCTTGATAATCAACAACGCCAGCTTCCCATTCTCGACGATGAGCAACAGAACCACTTTGAACACCTTGCTCATTTGTTGATGAACCATAATTAAATAAGGATCCGGCACCAAAACCAAATGTACTTTGTGTTAATGTACCCTAAATAGTAAAAATAAAAGTAAAAAATTGTCATCCGTATGGTTTGTCTACAAATGCAGATGAATCTACACCGAGCTATAGAATATACGGGTCGTAGTTCGCACCAAATGTAATTATTCGGGAACATTAGCTCATGCTGTACGATGTCACAGTGAGGAATTTACTCCATGAGAGAGGAGCCCCAATTTACACTGTGTTTGTATTTCACTAGAACATTGACGAATCAACATCCTAAGTTGAAATACATCCATCGATTGGATTCGAACCTAAGAACTTCTGATTGGATACGTGTTAACCAAATGATTTATCTTTTTCCTGTTCTTTCACGCATATAAAAGGCATGCAAAAACTAATATGACAAACTTAATAATAACAAAAACAATATGTTAACTATAAATATAAGGAAAACAATAAATAAGCACACAAAGCTAGTGTTTATTCGAACCGTAAAATTTTCTCTTTTTTTTCCTTTTGAAAATAATGAAAGAATATTTTCTGATGTTAAACATTGTTGTTGATCATTATAATTAAATAAATCATAATGACTATTTCGTGATTGATATTGATAAAAAGTTTTAGTATGTCCTTGTTTTATATGAAATATTCCTGATCGTGGAAGAATTTTATCTGTAGAAAATTTTCTTTTAAGATTTTCTCGTATTGATATATCATTAAATAAATCATCAATTATTGATGGAAAAGATAATCTTCGATTTTCAATTAATATACTTTTTTCTTTCATGTTATTTATATTTGAATAAAAAATCATTGAAGAAAATGTATTCATAACTGAAATATTAGACTAAACTTATTTCGTTAACTAATTTATTTGATTTTTTAAATAGTAAAATATTAATTTAAAAAGAAAAAGAAAACATGCATTACCTCGATTCCAACACCTGATTTGTTTTGTTGAAATTGCTGAATATATAAGGTAAACACAGCATGCACAAATCAATCAATCAAACAAATAAAACATAAAAACCAATCAACCAACCTGATTATTTTTCGATAATTGTGGCCAAACTCGTTCGTACATTATTTTCCACCAATGAAGAAGAAATTCTTTCTGAATATCATGTTGTCCTTCTAAATTACCTGATAATTTTCCATTTTGTGGATTATATGTTAATTGCCAGGGTTTTAATGCACCAGCAAAATGAACCAGACGGATATCATTACGAAATCTATTTGATATTTTTATTTATTGAAAGCATGAATCAAATAAAATAGACAAAAAGAAAATAGAATTTACCGTTTAACAGCTGGAACATATGAATAAAATGTATTCGATGTTACATTATAAATAAATGGTAAATGACAAGATATATCAGATGTACGCCAATTTGAGAAGAAATTATTTAAAAGTCCTTGATCACCACCTTAGATAAGAGATTTTTAAATAAAGAAGAAAAGAATGAAATATAAATAAAAATCGAACCATCGAATGAGGCATCTTGTTGACTTGCAAATTGAACCAATTTTCTAAATGTTTCTTTTGATGGTCGATAAACAAAAACACCAGAATTAAAACAATCAGGCCAACCAGCATCAGGTGCAGCTGAAAATTCTTCTCGTTCAAATAAATCATCAATATCACGTAAAACAAGAACGTCAGCATCAAGAAAAACACATTTGGAATATTTTTCTAAAAGCCAACAGTTGATTTTGGTAAATGTAACACCAAGTTCAGGCCGAGACAATAAAGTTAAATTTGCATTATCATATGAATTTAATTCTTCAACAACAACAACTTCATCAAAACTTGTTTCCAATGTTTGTCTAAAATTCATTTAACAAAAAAAATTATTTATTGTTTTTTAATTTTTCAAAAAAAACAAACAAACTTTATTAAGTCGGACAATTTGTTTGATATCATAACAACTAAACTTCGTTGTGTTCCAACTCTACGCAATGATTGTGCCACAACCAAAGCTCCAAGAGCATAGCCATCGGTTGTTGCTAAGGTAACAAATGCTTCAGATGACATTATTTCAGAGATTTTCAATCAACACAATTAGTCCTTAATTTATAGATCTATGTATATATAGAAAAAGAAAATAATATACAAACAAGAGAAAAAATTCTATTTTATGTGTGTTATCAATACATATGTCCAGCTATTCATAGATATATATGCATTTGTCTGTCGACCTCACGATGCCCTCTTTATCTCCATACAATCACGTAGAGGCTGCATGATTCCTTTCTACACTGATACATACTATCTTATTTCTAGATGATTGAAACACGTGCAGGGTTGGGCCGATACGACGTGTTCGAAAAAGTCCTGATTTCAAAAGGAAAAAAACTAATTAATATAAAAGTAAAATGGATTTATATTGATTAGTTTTTTGAAATTAACACAGAAGTGATCTTTGTATTTTCTATGGTAAACTCGAAACCTTGTAATAGAAAAATAAATGTCGATTGTCTCAAGTAAACAAGTATAGAGAACAGCAATGATATACGAGTATGGTATGGCGAAAATAGATTGTCCGCATAGTACCACAAATAACTATTAGTTAAACAACGTCATAGACAATACAAATAACCAACAGGTTATTTATAAATTCTAAGATCAAAGTCGATAAGTATTATTACTGAATACGAGCATAGAAAATATCATGCAATAAGATTTATTGAGAAATCCTCTGTTGAACACGTATTTTATTAGTTTGAGAATTCTTGATAGATGTCATTAAAATAAACATATATTTATTCTTTCTTTCTATTTTTTTACATCATTTCTCATTTGTTTGTTTTATAAAACCAATGAAAAAAATTGTCAGAACGAAAAAAAATAATACAAAATAAGATAAGATCAATGAAGGCTAGGAATTTGTCAACTTCTATTATTTCTTTTTTGAATTTCTTTAAATTTCAAACATATTTTATGATTATTGTTTTTTATATGAAAACTTCAGTTGCATTGTTAATAATCTATTTTAAAGAGATAAGCATAAATTTCATAAGTTTCTCGTCATAAACCGTTCAGTGTCTATGTATCATCGTTTGCATTTATTTGCGAGTTAATTTCAGATATGAATATAAAAAATCAAAATGATTGATAAAGATTTCGTATCAATAGTTTATGTCAACGAAATTTAGAATAGATATGATAGTCGTGATCAAGAAATCTTAATAGAAGTTTCTTTTACTTTTGTTTTTCTGAAAGAAAATCAATAATCCTATTTCAGTTTTGATAATTTTATTTTAAATCTTTTAAAAAAATAAAAGTTATGCTTTTCTTTCTATTTGTTTTACTATCAAACAATATTTTATCTTCAGCTAGGAAACTATCAACGAGTGTTTATTGAATAGAAAATTCTATTGAAAAAATTTAAAAAAATGAATAATGCAAACAAAGAATTAATGTTATCTATCAATGATAAAAGCAAATTATTGTTCAAACATATTGAATTAATAAAAAAGAGTTCGCTACATTGGGAAATAATATTCAATCGAACGGATAAATATAATGCCATAACAAATGAAATGTATGAACGTATTACAGAAATATTCGATGAAGCAGCAAAAGACAAAGAATTAATTCTTCTTTCAATAACTGGAAAAGGAAAATTTTATTCAGCTGGAACTGATTTAACTAATTCTGCTGAATCATTTGTATGCTAATTATTCTTTTATTTAATATACTACTTTCTATTTTCTATACTATTATTAGACATCATCAACAACTGATATTGAAACAATAATTAAACAAGGGAAAAATCGTTTACAAAAATTTATTGATAGTATAATAAATTTTCCAAAAATTTTAATTGCTTTTGTCAATGGACCAGCTATTGGCATATCAGTATCAACATTAGGCTTATTTGATGGAGTTTATGCATCATCTTGTGCAACATTTTCTTTACCATTTACGCGTACAGCACAATCAGCTGAAGGTTGTTCTTCATTTGTTTTCCCGAATCTAATGGGTTCAATTCATGCGAAGGAAATTCTTTTATTTGATCGACAATTAACAGCTGAAGAAGCTCAACAAAGAGGTTTAGTTACAAGAGTTATCGATGATAATCTATTTGAAAATGAAAAAGAAAATATTTGCAAACATATTTTATCATTACCTAAAGGAAGTTTGTTAGCAAGTAAAGCATTGATGCAGCGATGGAATATTGATACGCTGAAAATCGTTAGTAAAAAAGAAATCGATACTTTAGAACAACGTTGGTTAACTGAAGAATTTGCAGAAGCTATTTTCACATTTATCAATAGAAGAAAAAAATCAAATTTATAAAATTTATATATTTATTATCAGTATGAAATATTATTCAGTCGTTGATTTTTATTTGTTTTTCTATATGAATAATTTATTATTTTATTGAGAGATTTTGCAAAAAAGAAAAGATATAATCATTCATAAATTCTATAAAATAAATTCTATTGTCATTCGATAAATTACTTGTAAATAAGAATCTATTAAAAAATTGTTCTCTGGTTTGTTTTTTGGCTATTTTTTATTTTCTTGCTTGTTTCGATCTTATTATTTTGAACAAGTTCTACAAATACAGTTAAACATTTCATAATATTGCATTTCCTATCCAAAATCTACTGAAGCTATAGGAATGATCCGATTCGAGTTAAGAGAACTCTGGTTAGTAGTCGATGAAAATTTTGTTTTATTTCGATTCATCTTTAAAAGAGAGTATTAAGAAATTCAAAGATAAATAATATTGATAGAATAAAATAAAATTATGATAAAAATATTAAAAAGTATTCTGTAAGATCTTGAAGAGCGAAGAAGTTTGTTTGTTTATGCATCGAATTTTCATTTGATCCAAAATTTGTAGAAAATAATCTTAATCTTATAATTCATGAAACAAATTTCAATAAACTATGTAAATTCATCTTCTTTATTATCGTTCGAAATTAGAAAATATTAGTTAATTGCTATTATAAAGAGATTTTATTTTTCACCATTTTGAAAATAAATAATCAATGTTTTGTTATAAAGATTCAATCGAACTTAGCTTTTTCAATCAAAAAAGAACTAGTAGTCTGTTGTATAATTTTAAAGATAAATCTATACAGGCGTTCTTTAGACATGATAAGAATTTGAAAAAAAAAACGACTTATTTTGTAAAATATTTAAGAATCAATCAATCATACTAATAATAATGATAGTGATGATAATGAATGCTTAATAGGGAAGATAACACTATTTGGAAATATGGTATATATTTAACCTTGTATAATTTTCGTCCTTTTCTTAATTAGTCTATATTTAACATCAAACATTAATATAAATAATATAAAGAAAAATTAATTTTATACGCAAAAATATATCGTATTTTACAGTGCGTTTGTATCGTTTTCTTTTTATCTCTATAAAAGACAAACGAAAGTAACACAATATCAAGGTATCCCTATTGATTGATGATTATATGTCAACAATATTTGATGTATGTCTGGCATACCTAGCAAATAACACATGAAAATTAAACGATTGCATAAGGAGTGTCTTTGAAGCCTTTTTTAACAGATTAATTTTTTTAAGAAACCTATTATAAATAATTTGATTGCTACATCGTTGTAGGAAGAATATTTTTATGACTCAAACTTTAATAGAGAAGTTAATAATCTTTTTCGTTAATTCCTTTTCACCAGTTCGTGAATCAAACTCTCGAAAAAATATACATTCAAGTAGTTCAGCTAACATTAATTCGCATGGTGTATGAACAGTAACAGAACGAATTCGACCTCCGACTAATGTTCCTGTTTGAGGATCAGCAAATGAATCCATTATATTATGAGATTCTTTATCAAATGTTCCACTAAGAGACACAATTTCATATTCTTTCTTAGTTAATTGACATGAATTTAATGAGCATTGTGACAATGTTCCAACACAAGTTAAAATAAATAACGATTGAATAGCAACATCTTCCATTAACGCAATAATTGTTGAGATTAATTCCACACCAGGATCAAGACGAAGTGGATAACATCGAAGATCTGTACTTGCTGGAGTTTCTATAGATTTTTATTCAATAATCAAAATAAAATAAAATAAAACAAAACTTATGACGAGGATTATTGAGTCATAATAACCACTAAAATAGACACCATTCAGATGAAACTTCAATCTTTCACAACATGGCAGGATTAACAAAATACAGATACTGCCTATATATTGACAGGTCAACGTTTACATAAACCCCTAATCGAACTTTCTTTTGCAAGCGCATGCAATTCTTGACTTTCTTGATCAAGAAAGTCAAGATCTATGGACACATCTTGAGGCAAGAGATGAGGCCTTTCAGTGAGCTCAAGTTCTTAAACTTCTTGCTCATGTGCTTGAACTTTTATCTACGCGCTTCTGTTATTAAAGAGTTTTTTCAATTTTACGCTCAAAATAACTCAAATTTTAATAAAAATTTATAATTGCATCTTTGTGTAACTCATGAAAACATTCAAGCGCTTGTCTTGAGCAAGAAAGTCATGCACTATGGACATATCTTCAGCTCAAGCCTTGGCAAGCGCATGAATAAAAACGTTCGACTAGGGACATTACTCGTATTTTTGACAATAATAAAGATGCTGACTTATTTCCTGTCTAGCAAATAAAAATCGATATTATAACATAAATAACAATTTATGATAGGAATATTTTAATCTTAGACACAAAACGAATCTATTGTGTTTTTATTTTTCTTCTTTACTTGTTTTATGATATCGATATCTCTTAGATGATCAACGATTGACTACTGATAATTAGCCAGAAGAAAGAAGATCAACTATATAAACTACAAAACATATTTTTCTAATTCATACGCCAACACTGTTTCGATTTTCTGAATTTTTCGTATTGTCGAATTTACTGTAATGATAGAATATCAAGTTTCCTAATTTAGCATACAAATCATGATAAATGAAATCAATATTTGATAAATTTCAAATATAAAAGACTGATAAATAAATTCTAAATTCAAATAAAAATAATTTTCAATGATTGATTATGAACTAAATCGTTTTTCGTATTTATTTTGAAAAGTACTAAAGAAATGAAATAAAAGTTTTAATAGGACTGATTTAGACATATAGAAGTTTATCTTGTATTCAGAATTTTGTATAGGAAACTAATGACCCTTGTTCTAATCAAAAAGTGCATTTCCTTAGAAATCATTTCTATTAAGAAAACAATCTATTTTTTCTAAGATGATAATAATAATAATAATAGTTTAAAGAAAACAATTATTGTATTTTTCAAAGAAAAAAAACCATGTTCCGTAACCAAATTTTAATATAGTGTTTTGTATGGTTTAATACTTCACAATTTTGTTTTCCCTAGAAATTCATATTAAAAGTAATTGTAATTATATTGATGATATTTTCCCAAAGAAGAAATCATTTTCCTTTTCTTTTTCGTTCAAGGAAACTCTTGTACTAATTTTTTTTTTTAATAATATCGATCGGAGAATTCAATTCTTATTTTCTTAATAAAAATTCTCATTGATAGTTTTATTGATTCATTATAACATTTAGCTAAAGGGCATTTCATGTGTTTAGTGGTTGATCGATAAAAATAGACAGAAACCTTTTTATTCTTCTCTTATTGAGCACAAACAACATCAATGAAAAGAAAAGTATCACAGATGGCAATCACAACGGGAATCTCTTTTCTTCATATGCTATAATAGATACGTATATCATAAAAGAAAAGTTTTTACTATATAGAATTTTTATAGATAATAACTAATTGATTTTCTATTGAATCGATGGGTTATGATCGTCAAAGATCTCCGTTTGCAACAAGACTTATTTTAACTTGTTATTGTTTATTTCTATTAATAAATGTTTTACTTTATTCAAATGAAGTTTATCGAAGAAAAAAAGGAAAACATAATTTCGAATATCAATTCGAAACAATATCATTAGGTTTTATAGGTTTATTTATATTTTCAATCAGTTTTTATGGATTATGGTTTCCAAAAATTTTTATTCTTTGTTTTGTTGTTTTACTATTATTTCTATTATTGGTTGCATCATTGATAACAGCTATTTTAATAATAATAAAAATTGAAATAATTAATTCAAATACATTTTTATCACTAAAAAATTCGTTTTATCTTATTCATAATTATATATGGTTAACAAAAACATCAACAGTTTTATTACGTATAATTAATTTATCAATTAGCTGTTTATTAAATATATTTTCTATATTGGGTATATATCATCTATGTTCGTGTATTGAATATACTAATCAATCTTCGATTTATGGAAATAGAATATCAAGAACATCACAATCCATTACATGAAGTTAAAACAAAAAATTATTTCAATAAATTAAATCAATTTAATGCATGAATTATTAAATTTCAAATAGAAAAATATTTTAATTGACTATTTATCTATCGAAATTTTTTTATATTTGAAACAACGAAAATATATAACTATAAAGGCTCATACAGATATTTTTCATTGTAAAATATTTCTCATTCAAAATATAATATTTATTCTTTCATTATTCTTAAATTTTAATATTTTGAAATCAATTATCAAACACATGGACACAGGAAAATATAAAATACGATATAGCTCTTTTCATTTTTTTCTGATTGTCTACCATAGACATGTTTAATTAATTTAAAAACAAATTTGTTCAACATCGTTCTACTCTATTCATCAGAAAGGTAATAAAAAATAATGATTTCATCGTTCATCGTTTGTTCATATAAATAAATATCGTAGAAAAAATATTTTGTTTTAAATAGTTTTTATACTGTTTGATATTCTTCTCGTAGTCTTTGTTCTTTTTCTCAATTGCTTGTTTAATCAATATTGTTGTTTACGTTGAAGAATAAGTGTAAAATCGATTTCAATAACAAGGAGAAAATGAATCAAGTGTAAACTTTTTTCAGATCTAGTGACATACCAACTATATAGAGTTGTGGTTTTTTCATTTTTTGCTGATAAAAACCTGTTTATATTCTATATATATATATATATTTAGTTTAATTTTTTCTTTGCAATCTATTGGATTCGATCTCTAGGCATTTACCATCCTGTTCAATTCAATAATAAAAATCAATCAATAAGAATTTGATGAAGACAGAAAATTTGAAAAAAAATTTAATAATGATCTGCTCTCAATGATAAAGATCAATAGGAAATTAAAAGTTTATATTTAAAATTGTAAAATTTTCTTATTTTTGTCTATGACAGTACATATTCTTCAGTTTTTCTTTTTGACCCTTGTATAAAAATAAAATTTAAGTTTGTAGTAAAAATCAAAAAAATAAACATGACTAGACGATGATTATATTTATTTATGAGAGAATTATGTCTTGGGTTTGTCAAATTTTCTTAAATAGAACAAATTTTTTGTTGATGAACCTTGCAAAAAAAAGGAAAATGAAAATCTACTTTTTCATGAAGATATCTTATTATTAAAATCAATGCAACTAAATCTTTGATGATAAATAAAAATATCGAAACAATATTGATAAAATTAATATTTAATTAGACGAAGATAATTCTTATTCATATAGAAAATATAAATAATTCAATTTTCTTAATAAAATAATAATAATAATATTCACTATTTCATGATAAAAATGTCAATATATAAGTATGATGATCCCAGAGATGAATAAGGCATTGGTTAATCGATTTCAAATTGGTAAGAAGAAAAGTTTTCTCATGAAAATGTAAAATATTTTATAAATGAAATTAATGTTTCAAAGCGATAAATTATTTTATTATTATGTTTTAGAAGATAAAGGAGGTGCATAGAAAAAATGATATATTGAAAAAACAATAATCAAAACTATTATAATAAATACAATAACAATCTAAATGAATAAAAAAGCAATATGTATGAAATATTTAATAAACAACAAGGTTAAAGTAAAACAAACCTTAGCGAATGTATTCGTTTCATTAAAATTTTCCTTTGTATTATAACCAGAAAAAGATTGATTGAATGAATCAAATATTATGTTAGGTTTGTTAACTGATATATTTTCAGTTTTATGAATTTCTATTGATTCATTTTCTTGAAATTTAATTTTCTCATAATTTGAATTAAATTTATCTTTATCTGACATTATTTTAATCTGCGTTGGGCAGGTTGATTGTTCTTGATATTTCAAATATTTAATTAAAATTAATTGTGTTCTTGTTTGTAGAATGTTACATGGATATGAAATAATTATTTGTTGAAAAGGCTGTCTTTGAATCATATCATTTTCAACAAATTGAATAACTGATCGTATTGATCTATACCAATGTTTTATTTTTAGTTGTAATATATGAATTCGTCCTTGGATACCACCTAATTTATTAAGTATATCTTGACGAAGAAAATAATGACTATTAAATGGATAAATATGATCGATTTCAATCTAAATAAATCAATAAAGAATTTCAATAAATAGATTTATTCGAACCTCAAGAAAACACCGTTGTGAATCTTGATCAGGAGCAAAGAAATTTTCAAGTGAATTATTATTTGTTGTTTGTAATTCAATAAATACAATCAATTGATCATAATTTGAAAAAGATAATTTAAGATAATGTAAATAACACCGTTGATTATCTGAATAAGTGTCAACAATTCTCCATGGATCCTTATAGTTCGAACATTCATTATTAAAACATGTTTCAAAACCATTATCTGTTTCAATTCTTACAGAACATTCGATTTTGCCATCATAATCAGTATATGATAATCCAATAGTTTTATTTAAAAAATATATTAAATAAAAAAGACTCGAATAGAATATTATCGTCATAAAAAAACAAAAAACATTTAACAAAAATAACAACAAAAAAACGGAAAGATTTGGTTTTAACAAGGCGCACATTTATGTTGTTAACAACGATAGATTTCAAAATGGTATACATAGTTTTTAAATTCTTTTTCTATAAGTTTCATTTCTAAAAACAAGAATAAGAATTATATAAATTTTTTCTATCTATAGATGTGACGAGATGATCAATAACAGATTGAATAGAATTTAAATATTTTTAAAAGAAAATCGTTTGTTTCGCTCGTACATCGAAAATTGTATCGATCAAGTTTTATGTACTGTTCCGAATGATACAAAAGGATTTAAGTTATTCTATCCTGTTATCTTTACTATAGTAGAAATTCTCTATTTGACTTCCGTCAGAGGTTGTAAAACAAAAATGAATCTTGTATTGTTCTCGTATCAGTTATGGGTATCGTCATCAATTTTCAAGAAAAATTTTATAAGAAAGAATAAGATCTTCATAAAAACAAAATTCAATTATCAGATAGAGTTTTAAATAAATTATCAATTGCATGAGGAGAATAAGGATGTAGATAATATAGACAAATTACAAAAGAAAAACCTGTCTGATCAAAATTGATACTATTATGAAATTGTGTTTTGATTTTTGTCTGAGAGAATCAAAGTTTCCATTTTCATGTAATTGATAAAAATCAATTTTTATTCAAACTATTTGTAGATTAATAATGAAAACCTCTAATGAATATTATTTTCTTGCAATTGTTTTTACACAAATAGAAGTTTTATCATTGAGTTTGCTACAAGATTTAAATGATTTTAGACAAGGACGCTTTTTCTTAGATAAAATAGGTGTTGACAACTCTGAGAGTGAACTTGTTCTTGGTAATAATATTGCTGTATTTTGATAATTAGATATTGCTATTAATAGAGATGGATGATTTTGAGGTAATGATAAACGACGAATATCGAGAGTTTTTTTATAATAAGACAAAGCATTAGCATAGTCTTTTAAAAGAAAGTAAACTCTTCCGATATTTGAATATGTTGTAGCAAGATCAGGATGTATCGGTGGAAGAGAATTCAAATCAATTTGAAGGCTTTTTTGAAAATGGTTAAGAGCATTATGAAAATATCCTTGTCGTTTAAGAACCATCCCAATATTATTATAAATCGATGCTAAAACTCTTTGATCATTTGAATTTGTATTAAGTGCATATTGAAAATATAATAAAGCATTATCAAGATTTACTTGTGCATGATAGATTGAACCAATATTTGAATAAGTATCAGCTAATTGTGGATCATTATAATTTCCTGGTAAATAATTTGCTTTAATATCAAGTGAAAGTTTAAAATATTCAAGTGATCGATTAAGATTTTGTTTTTCATTATGAACACATCCAAGTTGTTGATAAATAAAAGCTAATTGTTCTTTATCATTTGAAGCCGTTTTCTCTAAAATATTTTCATAAATTTCTTGTGCTCTATCAAATTCTCTCATAGTTAACATTAATTTTGCTAAACTTTCCCAAGGATTCGATAAATATTGAACATCTTGACGTAGATGCTTTGTTAATTGTTCAAGTTGTACATCATCTTGATTTGTTGTTAATTTTAAATAAACTTGCCAAATTTTATTTTCATTTTTCAGTGGTCGAATATCTTCAATACGAAATACGGTATGTGTAGAAAAAAGAATTTCTTTTTCACTATTTTTAAAATAACTTAATTTATTTATTGATGCATATGGATTCGATAAACTAATCATTTTTCGATCGATTTTCATACGAAATATAATTCCACGAAGATCTGGTTTTTCGATAGCTTGCCGAGCAAACTCTAGAGATATTTGTTTATTTCGACTTGTTGAAAGAAAATAAAGAAATGATATTAAACCACCTTTACATTTAGATAATTTTTCAAATTGATTATTTGTCATTCCTTGACCTCGATAAACGATCATTGTCGAATGTTCTTGTGAACAATATAAATGATGAATTTGTCGATGAAGATCTCGTATAAAAAATCCCATTTTAATTAATGTTTCAATATTTCCCGTTCGAAGAGCATTATTTAACATTTGATAGACAAAACATTCACGTGTATACCACCATATTGGAGAATGTTTTTCATAATCGTTTTCAAATTCATCAATTATATTCATTTGTTTTATATTAAAAATATTTGAATGTAAAATACAATATTGAATAAATTCTTTTTTAACTGTTTCATCATAATTTATATTAATTAAAATTTCTTTTAATAATTGTGAATACATAAAATTTGGTTCAAGTTGATTTAATTGATTTTCAGTCAATCTATTTTCGAATATATGAATTGGAATAAGATTATTTTCATAATGGCGAATATCTTGAGTAAGTTGATAACAGAGTTCAGATATTTCTCGAAATAAATGTCCTTTTAATTTAAAATATTTATTTGCCCATGATTCAAATTGATTTATATTTTGACCATAGACGTAAATAGAATCAATAGATATTAAATTATGAATATGATGAATAGGAAATTCAAGAAATCTATCAGATATAACTAAATATACGATTTGATTCTTGTCAATAGTATTTTGAAGAAATTCTTGGCATAGATTTGCATCGGTAAATGTTTCAATTGAATTAATTATTTGTTGAAGTTCATTCAAAATCTTAAGACTATTAACTGATCTATCATGACAATTAGCATCTAACCAAATTATAATAATATTATTATCCAACATGATTTCAGAATTTAACAATGAATTGTGTTTCTTATGCTGTACTGATGTTAGGTTTCTGTTGCCCATTTCATCCGTAATACATGTAATATGACATCATGTTAATTTTTGATTGTCATGCTTTATACGTTTATTGTCCTTTCCTTTTCTTTTTATTTATTGTACCAATAGAAAACATTCTAATCGTACTAAGTATTAATATTAACAAAAATTTGATTAAACATTACTAAATTAGACATTTAATAAAACTACATGTGAGTATTATCCAATAATAATAAAAAGATGTGTTTATATTAGATCCGTACGAGTATCAACACACTATGAATATTTTATAATCAATAGAAACAAATAATATCATATCATAATTAATATAGAGTTTATAAAAAACGACGTAATAAGTCATGATGTCAAGGGCAAAGAGTGTAAACTTTATATTTCAAGCTAATTTGGTCAAGTTGAAATTACTATGAACAATTTCTCTGTAGTTGTACTTCAATTAAGTAGGTATAATTGCAGTATGTTTTTTTCTTACCAGTGGGGTTCTCATATTCTTCCTTCTTTGTTTTTCTTGTTTTCATCAATGCATAATATAATATTTATCATTCTAGAATCATGTGTTTTCAATAATATTATAAAAACTCAGATGGGTTTAATTGCTATTCTCGATAATCATCTTATGTTGAAAAACGAAAATCTTAAATTTTTAATTAAAATTCATCTGCCACCGTCAGATAATAATTGGATTCAATTTTTTCGACTAATATTTAATTCATCAATTTTTATCAATTAAATAATTATCTTTGCTGATTCCAAATTTTCAAGAAAAGTTGATAGTTATGTGTGCTAAAATGAATTTTGGCATACAATAAAAATTGATTACTTTTTCAAACTATTCTCATAGTGTTGATATTAATATATAATAAAACATATATTTAAGTGTAATTTCACCATTCATATTAAATATTAGAAGTATATCAACAAAGCAATCAAAATAATTGAATGTCTAAGAAATTTTGAAAAAATATTAAAAAGTAATTACTTCTACTTCCACTAAAGACATTAATCTTACGCTACTAATGTCCATAATTTCTATGTACATCAATAGACTTAAATCAAATGACTTTTTATTTAGATAAATTTTTTTTTCTCCAATCTTTTTTCAATAAGATCTATTTTATTTTAGATAATGAAATCAAACAATTATAAATGTATGTAAGGATATTACATCTGTGTGATTCGATGCACTAGATAATGCTGTCATTCACAAAGAACAAAAATATTCTTAAGAAAAATTTGTTATCTAGAATGTTTCATTTACTGAATTGTTAACGTAAAAAAATCTAAATAATGTAGCATGATTGCTGCTTCATGTTTGACTTCAAAACGAGAAGTATCGTTAATTATTGTGATTATTATCAGAATGATTGAATAACTCTTTGTGTAAGCTATAACTCTTGTCTGCGATATATTAACAAATATTTATTTATTTTTGGTAAATTTGATACAAAGTCATGATTTTATTGTTGAAAAATAATGTATAATATTAAGCAAAAATTTTTATTTTACTATGAGCGATGATATTTATTAAAATAAGTGTGATTCTACGAAATTTTCTTTTTTCTTACAATTACATACCATGTTTCATACAGTTGCCCAATAATGTTACTTATCAATCGACAATTCAATAGTTAGAATCTGTTGATATTATTTTCATAAATATACCTCAATCAATTCAAATGATTGTTAGACTTTTTATTTGATGTAAATATATATAAATATATATATATTAGATAAACACAATAAAGAACCCTATAGGTTTGTAAGAAATACTATTAGGAATAAGAAGATTTCCGTAGAAAAATATCGATAGAATAAAATAGAAATGAAAATATCTCAATATTTAAATAACATGATGAACGATAAGACAATCAGAATTCGAAGCTTCTCGACATTCTAGTGCGAGCTTTGGCAGACGAATTCATCATAACAAAAAGAAACAATATCGTCATATGTTACTAATCATCATTGAGAAAAAAAGCCCTGGTCTATTTAGCCAGGGGAACTTTAACCTCAGCAACCTTCTTTTTCAACTGAATCACCAGATGATTTGGTCACCGATAATGTTGTTAAATTCTTTAAAAGAAAAAAGAAATATTAAATAAAACAAACAATAAAATTTTACTTCTGAACATGTTGGATGAATTCCAACCGTCATATCAAAATCGTTTTTCGTAGCGCCCAGTCTCATTGCAACTGCATAACCTTGAGTTATTTCACCAGAATTTGGTGACAAAACATGAAATCCAATAACACGACCCTTAAGAAAAGTAAATAAATTTTATCATTTATTTTCTCTCAAACACAAAATAAACATACTGTTTTTTTCTCAACAATTAATTTACAATATGATTTTGCTTTAATTTCTTCACGATGATGGCATATTGCCCATTCTAATGGAATAAATTCACTATGAAATACCTAATCATATAAAATCATATAAATTAAAATAACAAAATAAAACAAGAAAACAAGAAAAGGTTTTTCTTTTTTATTACTTCAACATTGTCTTGTCCGAGTTGTAAAATAGCATCTTCTTCACAATAACCAATTGCACCATATTCTATCGGAGTAAAAACTGTTGTTGGTATATTATAGTAATCCATCTAAAATTATGTATACATAAATATTATTTAAAGAAATAACAAATCAAACATTTATTTTATCTCACTTTAATGGAACTGGTAGAAAATAATCGCCTAGCTAATAATTGACCTGTTTGAATAGCGACTGGTGTTAATTCTAAAGGTTTTCCTAATGGCATAGTTTGTTCATCAATACAATCTCCAATAGCATGTAACCATGGAACATGAATTGATTGCTCTTCTTTAGTTTTTATTTTAAATCCATTAATAGGATTAAGATGAATACCAATTTGATCCAAATTTAAATCTTGTGTACAAGCTTCACGTCCAATAGCAAATAAAATTGTATTACAATCTTCATAAGTTTCTTTAATATCACCCGATTCAAGTGTTTGTCGATAATAAAGACGTAGTTTGCCTGGTTTTCCTTCTTCTAAACATTCGATACGTGTTGGAATGGTTTGATGATGAAATTGAATTCCAATCGATGACATATAATCTCCAATTTTCGATGCCATTTGTTGATCAAAACCACGAAGAAGTATTGAACGAACGAATATATGAACTTCACGACCAATTCCATGTAAAAACCCTGCGCATTCAAGTGCAACGTATGATGCACCCACAACTATTGTCTTGCCCGGGTCATAATTAAGAGAAAATAAATCATCACTAAACAGATTTGTCGTTTTTCATTCATTAGATTTAAAAAGAGAGGAAAGAATCTATTCTCAACAATTAAAATCAAACCTTGTAATTCCATATTTTGTATCGCCTTCAATATTTGGATATTTTGGTCTTCCTCCAACAGCTACGACAATATATTTTCCTGTTATTTCTTTTGTTTGACCTTTTTTATCTGTTAACTTAAATAAAATATATTATTGTTATATTATTTAGAAAAAAACTAAATAGACAAACTTTTAATCGATGTGGTGAAACAAATTGTCCATAAGCATTTTCATAAACAACATCTTTTGAGCGAAGATCTGTTCGATATTTAAAATTAAGGGAACGAATATATGTTTGAATTGATTGTATCATCTTTGACCAATCATGTTGACGAGCTTTTATTTAAAAACAAAAACAGATTCAAAATTATGTTTCTATTTTTGAAAATAAAACAAATGTAAACCTTTTTCAAGCTGCGACCAACCATAATCATTTGAATCATTAGCATATTCACCGATCAATGATGCCTGATGCATTAATTTTTTTGGAATACACTATTATCAATATTGAACAATATTTTAAATGAACAACAAAATCTATGTTAACTTACACCAACATTAACACATGTCCCACCAAGCCCTTAAAAAGAAAAAAGAATAGATATAACTAAAAATTTCAATGTTTAATTGTGATAATAAACCCCAAGTAGTGCCAATTGGTGTTGGTTTAACAAAATCCAATACACAAACTTTTTTATCAAACGATCGAGCTTCCTTTAGAATACAAAAACATGGAGTATTTCTTGAAAACTTATATTTAAATTTCTTGTAAATACTTTTGAACATGCAAGTCCACCTGATCCTCCACCAATAACGATCAAATCATAATCATATGAATCTAAAGTATCATTATCAACTCCTTGATGTTTCATTTCCGTGTCAGTTGTATTAAGAAGAGTAGCAACTCGGCCTTGTTTCAATGCTTCAAGAGTTTTATCACATCCACCTATATATATATATATATATATGAAAAATATGAAGTCTTTTTTATTTAAAAGAAAACTTTAAATTCAACAAACCGATATGTTGCTTTTTAATAAATATATTAGGGACAGTTTCTTGTTCTGTTTTATTGATTAATTCAGCTAGAATTAGTTCGCCGTCATCTAAACAGAAGATTTATTATAAAACAAGGAAAAATAATATATTTTTTACCAATTTTATCTAATTCAATCGCATAAAACTCAACATTAGCCGATCTTAATGCTTCTTTGATCTAACAATAAAATAATAATGAGTTAATAAATAATAGAAGACATAGAAGAATAAAACCTTTTTACAATATGGACACCAAGATTTCGAAAAGATCATCACATCATGTTCATTAATATATTTTTCAACAACATCAGCCATAGCTTCTGCAACTTTTGTTGGTGGCATTAGTTTTTCTTCTAAATAAACTTTTTATTTCAACTTAATTATGAAAAAAAAAATTTGACATCAAAAACACTTATATTCTATTCTATCTTAACTGTCTTCTAATAATGATATAACCTTGTCACTATTTTATCTTGTTTCAGAATTATATATATATATATATATATATATTCACATGAAGAGAAAAACAATGAATAATGCTTTTACTTTTTCTGCATCGTCATTATACTAATGCAGAAAAGAATGAACTAAGATAATGTAACATTTGAAATTATTTCAATTAGGAACAAATACAAAAACATATAATTAAAAAAAAAGTGCCCCCTATAAGAAAAAAGAACGTCATAGAAGAGGATCTTATCTAACCAATTAAATTATCTTAAATAAAATTTTTATTTTCTCATCTCAAAAATCCTTATGAACGCATCAAAATAGTGTTTATAATACGATCTTGTCAATCTGTTGTATTATTGTGACGAACTCTTATTCGAAATTACTATACTTTATTATTATCTGGTATAATCACATATTGAATATGTTTATCATGTTAAGAGCATTTACTTTGATCTTATGTTTTTCTTTCTGGATTAAAAATATAAAATCCAGAATTAAAAAAGAAAGGATTTTTATGAACGATTTAAATTTGAAGAAGCTTCACTAAATGTGTATTCAACCGATGGCTATGGTTCTGGTGTCACATTTTACTGGTTTAGCATTGAGAAAACAATTTGATTTTCAAAAATAGACATATAATGTTTAGTTACAACAAGAAAAAAAAACAATTCAGTGATTAAATCTAATTATGATATGTCTGACGCAAAGACTTCAGATATTTGCAATCTATGAATGAATTCGCTTCAATAAATCGTTTCAATTGACTTAAAATGCAAAATTGAACATGAAACTTAACTTTGTGTAAATGAATACAATGATTGTCTTTCACTTAGTTCAACTTAACAAAATAAATGACTATTTAACTAGAAAATATTTTGACACAAGTTTTCTATAGATATTTTCTATAGAATCTACTCGGAAATATAATTTTTCGTTTACTTAATTTTAACGTGGCTAACTGTCAAAAACGGATTTATGTATTGCAAGCATTTGCTCATTAATTATTCATTCAATTTTCTTAAGTAATTTAAGAATGTCAAATCGATCCTGATCATCATCATTTTTTATCGAATATGATCACAAACTGAGCTACTTTTAGCGAAAGTAGAGTTTGTAAAAACTCCTATGAACTGAATATGAACACATTTCTGCTCTGAAAAGCTTCAAATTAAGATATACTTTCAAAACTCCTATACCATTGTATGTGTGCTGTGCAGTAAATAGTCTCTTCCTACTGTGCCCCCTCGCACCAGTCTTGGATATTCCTAGATTATAACTTCTAAATATATTCTATCTATTGAAGTGAATTGTCAATTTTATTTAGCATCATTGACTGATTTAAAATAGTGCCATCATAGATTTACAACGGAATATTTTGAGATTTGGTCAAAGGATAGAAACGAAATAATCAGTATTTCATCTTTTTTATTTCTTTTTCTAATTTAACTTCATTTATTTCTTATTACTTTTTATTTTGATTTTGATTTCAATAAATTATTAATTAACAGAATATATAGTTCGCTTTATATGCGTTAGATGACCAACGACTTTTTACTTTTACTGATTCATATAAAGATGAAGAATAATAATATGATGCACGAATACCGAATAGTTCATATGTGTATGTTTCATTTTTTTGTACTAAAAATTCGGAATACACTTATTTCGTTAATAAAACGGTCTTCATTTTCTACTAGTATGAAGTAAATAGATCAAAATAAATAAATAAAAGAGAAATAGATCTGTGCGCAAATGAAAAGAAAAATGGCTGCATCAGGTAGAGTTGCAACGATGACGCATCAGTGAGTAAATGAGTAATCGCGTTGACATAATATTTATAATGCATAAATACTTGTTGTTTTTCTTTTTGTGTTCTTCGCATTAAAGTACAACGTACGTCATTTGTTGTTACTGTCACGTTTGCTTTTCTTACTTTTTTTGTCTGACTGAAACATTTTTACTTATTTTTTGTTAAGGTGTAGTTATATAATCACTTGTACACAAGTTAAAGTGATAAGATACAGAGAACTATGGCTAATGAAACTAAAATGATAATTATAACGTCGAATGAAGACTTGATTCGTCAATTTTCTTTAAATAAAACTAATAATACACTTATTATTGATTTGGATAATAAGCAGAAAATGGTCTCAAAAAGAAAGAATAATAATAATAATAATAATATTATTGATTTGGCTTTACTTGCTGAATTATCTGAACTCGTTTGTATTTAATTTTGATAAAATTTATTAAGATAAATAATAAATATCAATTTTGTAGAATTCAACTAGCGATCAAGTATATAAACGAGTACTTGATTCACCGGATCAAAACCGATCAAAACCGGTTAAAATATCCAAAAAATCAATGGATTTGATTTGTACTATTTGTGGAGATCGTGCCATTGGATTTAATTATGATGCTCTTTCCTGTGCTTCATGTAAAGCTTTTTTTCGTCGCAATGCTCATCAGTCACGGGTTAGTTTAGAAATTTTCTTTAGTTTAATTGATCATTAAATATCGTTCGTTGTTTAACATAGTATAAAGAAGTGTTCACTTTAGATATTAGAAATCTATGAAATTTGTTTCATCTTGTAGAATATATTATTTTTTATATTAAAACTAAATTTTTGGATCGATTAAAGATTTTATGATTGTCAAATATAGATAAGCGTAGAGACCTATCACAGATACATGTACATTTTCATCGACCTACATCAATACCTAAATTTGTACTCTAAAGTATTTATGATTAATTGAAAAATTTTTGAGGATTATAGAATAAGTGTTCAATACAACACAGTTTCCAAAGACTCTATTTTAGAGAAGAAACAAGTCAAAATATCTATTTCAGATTTTTCGATCATTGATTCTACTTATAATATACATTTCAAAGCTTAATTTGGACAGTTTTGGATCTTTGATAAAAAAAAGAATCAGTTATGATCTACTTAGATTGATATATATTAGTAATTATTAATTTTCTAGGAAAAATTACGGTGTTTGACAGGTCAAGACCAATGCTCAGTTACATATGAAATGCGTCGTAAATGCCAAAGATGCCGATTAGATCGATGTTTTGCCATGGGTATGAGAAAAGATTTTATACTTAGTGAACAAGAAAAACAACGAAGAAGAAAACGTCTTGAAGAAAATCGAAGTATATCATCAAAACCTTTATTAATATCAGAATTGTCAAATTCATTATCTTTAACAAATTTATCACCGAAGTCAGAATCTTTTTCAGAAACATTTGATGAAATTGATCGTGTAAGTTTTTCATTTTAATTTTCTTTTACAGATAAAACTTCAGCTAACAAAAGAAAAAACTTTTCGAAATAAATAATAGATTCAATCAATCTAATTTAATATTTTATTTTTAGTTATTGATGGATCTGGATAATGATGATGACGATCATAATGTTACTTCTGATGAAAATATGAAATCAAATGAGATAGAACAAGCACCATCGACGATGTTTTCTCTTCAAGATAGAATAACGATACAAAATATTGGATCATCATTTACATCTTCGTTTCAAACCGAGGATATCCAGTGTTCTTCTTTCGATGTATCAGATAGGGCTTCTGCTCTTATATCTTGGTCACGAGTGGCCAATGAAATTGCCCTACGATTTATTAGCTTTTTCCGTCAGATCGATGAATTCGAAAGTTTACATGCTGATGATCGTTTTATTCTAATTAAATATAATCTTCTTCCTCTTTTCCCGATAGTCAGATGTTACAAATACAAACCAATAAATGGGCCTTGCTGTGATGAAGAGAACGAAAAAAACGAAAAACGCTGTCGCTTTTTTATGTTATGTGATGAATCGAATGTTGTTCGTGATATGTTCGTAAATTTAGTACTTTCACTTGTTGAAATAACAGAACAAGATCCAACATTGTTATCACTTATTTTATCAATTCTTATTTTTTCGCAAGGTTTATCCATGAATGAATATGAACCACCATTAAAAGATTCTATAGGTGTAAATCGAGCTCAATTTTATTATACAAAATTATTGTGGCATTATTGGCTTGACAAATACGGTGAAATCGAAACTCAGAAACGCTTTACTCAATTACTCAAAATAATCTTACGAATTCAGTCAGCAGCCAAAAAATCTAGAGAATTTTTTCGTTTTCAATTTATGACATCAAATACTGTCGATAAAGTTGCACCGCTGATGCAAAGTGTTTTGCATATTTCTTAATTTGCTTTTTTCTATTTATTCATTTACTTAATAAAATATTTATGTCAATCGTAGATTAAAGAAATTTTCTTAATAATTTATTAGAAAAAAAGAAGTATTGATGCTTGGATTTCCAAAGCTTTCCTTCTATTCCTTTTTCATTCAATTTATTAAAAGTAAGAGAAGCAATATTATTTTCTAGAAAATGAAAGATTATTGAAATCAACATAAATTCATTAGCAATTTTCTCAAATGTAATATAAAATATAATAAAATCCATAATATGAAAAACAAAGTAGAATGGTTAATTTATTTGGTTGTGATGATGATTGTATTTTCTTATGTTTACAATGAAATTTATACCTAAAAAAAAACGAATTCTATTTCTGTTCGAATCGAATGAATTGTTACTGACAACACTCTTTTAAAATGGTAATCTTGATCATTGATACGACAACATATTGCTGATAAAAGAATGATTTTACGAGAATTTTTGATAGGTTGAATGGTTTTGTCAAAAAATAAATTCATCAGACAGAATAAAAAGAGAGAACAGCATCAATATTTTACTCCGTAGAATATTAACTATGCAAAGTAACAATAATAGAAATGTTATTTCTATTTTCTTCAATAGATTCTGACCATTACTCTCATGAAATGATTTGATGAAAAATTATATCGTCGATAAATTAGTATATTGTTTTTATTTCTATGTAAGACGTCTACTCTTCGAGCAGACAATTTTCTGTATTTTATTCTATACTCAGTGTTTCAGAATAAAGGGTGTATAATAAATTCTGATTATCTTCAAGTAGTAGTATTTTCTTATTTCTTTTTTCAATAGAGTTGGCTGATAATTGGCCAGGCGAGACAATTTTTAGATGGAATTAATGAAAAATTGAGAGGAGAAAGATTTGAAAATGAATCAGACTTAAAAAGTCGAGTAGTGGAAGATCAGAAAATCTTTACTACAATAAAATGCGAATTAATGATGAAAAAATTATCTAATCAATTAAAGCAAGTGACAGATTAAGATGCAACTAGAGCCGCTCCAATAACATTGAAACACATTGTTTTCTTATTATGCTTCAAGACTTTCGATTTGGAAATCTTGCTAAAACAATTGATTTTTATTTAACATCCTTATAAAATTCAAAAGTCATGCTAGAGAGAAAATAATGTTAACCTGAAAAATTGATGGCAGAGCACATTTTAGTTTTCATTAGATTAGAGCATATTTTTAGAATTCAACGATATGTTAACTGCACTCGCTAGATACTGATCCAAAAAAAAAGATATTCTTCCTTATGACCTATATCCATATATATTAGTGATGGGATCGGTTCGGTTCGAAGTCTTTTGAACCAATTTATTTATTTTCAATTAGCAGAGTTTTTCCTGCCGATTAGAGAAATAAAACATAGATCCATCCAGTGTTTCTAATAGAAACATTGCACCCATGTTAAAAACAGATGTTGCTAATAACAATAATATATATACGAATATGTCGCAGGAGAATTTGAAATTTTTCTACAAAAATTTAATATTAACTTTATTCTTTTTATATTTCAAAAATACAAAGATTAAAGTACACATTTGAGCATAACTTCTTTCTCGATGAATGATATTTAGTACCACACTAACGAAGTTCAAACAGAATTTTTCTTTCCTTTTCGAAAAAGAATCTTTCTATTAAAATAAAAATATTTAAATGAATCCTTGATTTATTTAGCAAATTAGTCCGGCAATTTTGTAGCAACAAAACATAGATGTCAATCTAATAATATGTTCAAGCTACATTCATCTGAATATTTTTTTCTCAAGTTTAGTTTTTCTTTTAAAGGTGTTAGACGAAATTCATATTAAGGCTGAGCTAAACTTTCAAAGGATTCGAAATAAAAAGAAAAGTTTGATAAGGTATGTTGATCAATTCAATCCATATTGACATTGAATAATCTATACAGTTGATTAAGGTGAGAAACTCAGTTATTAAACAGAAAACTAGATTCAAATATGATTCCAAAAAATTGGATGTTTAAATACAACTTCATTTGTTTCTTATTTTTGAATTTTTTTCAAAATTGTTCTATTGCCATCAAGAACATTATTTATTTTTTCCAAGGCTCGCCTTAAAATTATCGAACGCTTAACAACTAGCTACTATTTTATTTGTATATTTGTTTGTCATGGCTGCGCATATTCACATAAGCAACGGGACACAGAAAAGATATTATGAAAATAATGTAATAGTCTTCTATCTTAGAAAACGACGCAAAAACTCACTCAGTTGAGAAAACAAATATAATTAAAATTCTCTCGTATCTGAGATCGAGTATTTCAGTATAAAAAGAGCTCAATAGTTCATGATTGATTGTGAGACTTGCTGTATTAATGGTTGCATCATGTTAGATTGTTCTAATAAAACTCAATAGATAACAAATAAAATTTATCGCAAGAAAGAAAAATAATAGTGGAAAATTCGGGAATATTAATTTATGAAATATTTTCTCAGAAAAAAGTAGCTTCTTAATAAAAAAAAACGAAACGAATGATTGTGGCTAGCACGAGAGAATTTTGTAATCAAGACCAGGATGATCTATATAACCGTACGGGCATAAAAAAAATGATATACGTGTTGCTATTTTCTCTCTCGATTAGATTTCTTGTCAAATGCTGCCGGCAACTGTTAAGATCAATCAAATGGGATAATAAACTTATTTGAAACACATTTGTTTTCATGACTGAATTGATAAAAACTACGCAAGTGATGCTTCTTAAATCATGAAAAGCGAGAATCAGAAAATTTTTTTATTTATTTGCCTTCATTCAAATTTCCGTTATTTGGTTAATTTATGTATTTCTCAAACAATTTTTTTTCTCTTTTTTATTACAAAGTTTTGCACAACATTGATCTCATAGATTAGCAAGCTTTTTTTCTTGTTGTGTCTCTCTGTACACATTATAGATGAACAAACCTATCGTAAAATGATTGTGGTGAGAATTAAGAATGCAAAAGAACAAATAATAAAAAATAGGCATTTTTCAACTATAAATCATTTAGTCAGACATTATTTAATTGATATATTTCGATGAAAATCTTTTACATAAAATAAAAAATAAATTTTTCATTACCAATAGTTAATCCTTAGAGTTTAATGACTTTATTCATGTCATATTGTTGTCAAAACAACTGAGAAGTTTTTCTTACACCTTTTAATATTTAAATGTACACGCACGCACGAATGTGCATGTTCTTGTTACAACCGCCATCTTTCTCATATGATAGAGGCTTAAATTATTTTTATTGCAATGGAGAAAAGTGTGTGTAGCTTATCTTAACCCAGCGTACTATACTAGTGGAAACAATTTGAGAGAAAATATTACTTGAAACTAATTACTATAACTGTGTGGTTTTAAACTGACGTAGATGTATTTACTCATACATATTCATTCATTTAGATTTCATTTAGATTAAATATTGATACAAAAACAATTGTTGGATATTTCGCCTTTTTTTCAACTAACAACAACTTTTCATTAAATCTTAAGTTTCTCTGTACGTTCAATAAGATAATATATTTTATTATTATTTACATTCTGATTTGATAAAGGTAAAAACGAAAGAGCTCGAACTTCATTTTTAATCATGTAAATATGTTCTAGTGCAGTCATGGCTCGACCACTCTTGGTGTCTTTATCACAGTCGATTATCAATAACATAAGAATCTCACGGTCTTCATTTTCATTAGATTTTCGTCGATACAATTCTTCGAGTATCGCATCGAATTTTGATCCTAGTAGAAAAGATGATGGTATGTTTTTTCCCTCTTTCTTTGTTTAACTTTTTACTCTGGTTTAATTCAATTTCCTATTCTAGTTAAAACACGGTTATTGACGTTATTAACCAAATTACGAGATAATGATATTCCTAAGTTGGATGGACACATTACATGCGTTTTAAATGTTACTGAAGAGTGTATTGAAGCTACCAAATTCAATAAAACCCTGAAAAACGTACAAACACTGTTACCAAATGATATTAATAAATTGAAAAATGACTTAACTGAATTCATTTTTTCATTGCAATCCATTCCCACAGAGAGCTTTGAAACTGATAAAGTTGATACTTTCTTACTTTTCAATGAAGAAATCAACCGACAACATATAGATAAAGAAGCTGTGAATAATATTTTTCAAGATTTAACTAACGTTATTGATGATCTTTGGATAACAAAACGTTCAAAACTGAAACTTCGTGCGGCTATTCAAGATTTAAAATCACTACTTTCACATTTACAAGATGAAAATATTGATTTGAAACTATCTGTTTCACGTCTACAAGATGAAAATATTGATTTGAAACTATCTGTTTCACGTCTACAAGATGAAAATACATTATACAAATATCACTCATGTCTTAGTGAATTAATGCGACAGACCGTGCGGTCGATCAAGAAAGAGTTTAGAAGAAAACTGAAAATGGAATATATATCAGAAAATTTCGATAAAGCTACATTTGATAGTTTACTCGATGATTCTCAACACGAAGAAATTAAAGATAGTCTGAACTTGGATGATAAACAAATACATTTAATGTTAACAATATTTGACACCATATGTTCCAAATACGGTTTTCCGAATAAACATATTTTGGTACATTATTTATTGGTCGCGTCGATACGCAATGAACGAGAACATGATATGATGGATTCATATGTTAAACTGACTTCAGATGATCGACGTTCATTTCAAATGTACTGTGAAAAAAATAATCTCGCTCAACATTACGAGCAGAAACATTACAACTTACTAGAAGGTTTATTCAAATTATATGCAACAGAATTGATTCGGAAATTAAAGAAACAAGAAAAGTAAGTGAAGATGTCTTACAAAACTCTTTTAAAGATAAAATCTTGTTTTTTTCTTTACTTTAGTTTAACCGAAACAATAACTCAATCGTAATTTAGCTGGTGGTGATGAAGAATATTCCTGATTTTTCTCCCATGTATTTTTTCAATAAATGTTTGTTATTATGTATATATGTATCTACTTTTTCCTATTCAATTAATTTTATTGAAAGATCTAATTTTCGTCCAAATCAAAAAATTGAAATCATTCGAGTGTTGATGATCTTTCTTGTCAAGATGGTGTTTGAGGATGAAATTCATTTTCATCTTTCAAATCGATTTTTTCGTTGAGGGATTCGATTTCTCTCTATTTGTCACAACAGAATAAAATACTATTTCATTTTTGCTCGAAAGAAAATTAATTTCGAAAAGAGAAGTTATGAAAGATAGTACAATGGAACTTCGAGAAGACTGAAATAGATTTCTTCTAGAAAATCTTCTCTTGATTTGAGAAAATTCAATTGAATTCTTTGATTTCATTCGAAAGAGAAATTCATTTTTTACTTGAAACATTCGTCAATACATATAATTCTTCGATGTTTTGCTCGAAATAACAGGCAATTCGCAATAAAAATCATTTGAACTGAAGAATATAGAGCAAAATGTTGAACCTTGAAATGGCTTCATTGCTCATCGGATTAGTCAAGTTTCTAACTATGTAATCAAAATGCAATAATTTATGTTGTGTATCATTATTCACTTGATACAAATATCGATGATTATGATTCTACATGAAATATACTGAAATTGATCTTAATTAACAAAATAAATATTTATTGTTGGAATTCGAATTTCAAACTGAACATCAGAATTTAATTGAATTCGATGTTAAAAAGGAACAAGTTCAAATTGATGAATAAACTAATGATAGATTTTGAAAAGATTTTTATGTAGAGAAGAAAAAATCTCATCGTCGTTATGTTATCATTGTTGTCGAAAAGTGATCATTGTGATAAAATAATCGATGCAGTTAAACAGTGATGCATTTTAAAAAGTTCATTTTGTTCTTTTATTGATTCTAGTATATCTTACCATTAATATTGGATTCCAACAAGAAAAGCCATATAAATCGTGTCATGTCATTTAAATTATCACAGTTTAGAAGAAAAAAAGCTAGAAACCGAGCTTCTTTACTTCAGAAGTACTATGAAGTCCAGAAATAGGCCTTTGTCCTTGAATTAAACACATTTCTACATCTGAATCTGAATCTGAAATAGTACTTTTGATTTTACGCAGAGCCTTCCTGTGAATGTTTGCGTTGAGTATGAGAACTTGATAAACGAATGGCCAAATGTTGGTCGAGTGAACTAGTTCTGACATGGATTGCAGTAAATTTTCATGCGTAAAAAAATATCTGTGAATACTCTACTTGACAGCTAGAATGGCACAAAATTCTGTGCTTTTTGAAAATTCATCGGTGGTTTTGATTTTTCTGTTTCTATTGATGTATCTGAATTGCTAGATGAAACATCAAAAAGTCACAAAGATTTCATGACAGAACTTTCGTTTTTTTGTCACTAGAAAAAGATAAGTTCAATGAAAGTGCCACGTGCATGATTCGTTACTCTTGACTATGTTATCTCATAATTCGAAATCTTGTGCACTGGTATTTGGGAAAAGTAGAGTATAAACCACAGTTACACAAATTTTGAAAACTTTACCTGAAAGTTAGAATAAAAGCTCCTCTCTAGAATGGTTTTACACTTGGATTTTTCTAATACGAAGAAGAATTTACGTTATTAGCAAAGGACATGAGCATGTAGTACATCAGTGCTCCGATCATATTCGTGTGTATAATGATTAAGATTTCGATCTTCAATTCATATAATTACCGATCATGAGAGAACAAAATGAAAAACTAAACTCTGTGTAAAAGAAACCAGAGCTGGAGTCAGAACTAAAGGCCTAAAAAATAATAACGGCTGGTTCGAATTGCAGATGTAGGAAAAGGCTGGAGCTACTAGTAAGTTGGTGCTAAATGCATCTTTTAAGCGTAAATGCAATATGATTATGAATAGAGATAATATTAAAGTTATTAAAATTTAATACTTATACATTCACATCTTTCTAAGATGTTAGGAATACGTAATTATATGTATGTGTGAATTCAAATGAATTTTAGGGAATGAAAACGATGTGATGAACAAGGTTAATTTATGTTTAAAATTCACATATCTAAAATAAATAATTGATAGTTGTATAGCCCTGTTAGATGTTAATATTTCTGGAAGAAAAAAAACCTGTTATTTCATTTTCTTGTTTTTTACACAAAGTGGTGAAATCATAATATGTTACTCTTGCGTTCTCTTGTTTCTCGAAGAAAACATTCTCAGTTTGCATGCAAAAGAACTTCTAATCGTGGTACTCCTTGCGCGCTTTTACATACTTCAATGTTACTTCTTATCGGCGTCATAGTGATGTCATTGAAATAAAAAAAATAAAAAAAGCAAGCTTTTTTCTTGCTGCACATTTGATTACTCAACTTTGAAATGATCCCACGTGTGTTTGATATTGCAAGAGAACCTCAACAAGTTCTGTCGGCTATTGATGGCTATCAAAATGGTCCACTTTTGCCATTGGAAATAGCGATTAAACCTCTTATCTCATTCTTTGAAGAAGGCACCCTTGAACGTAATGTTTGGATTGTGAAAGAACGATGCCAAAATCCATTTGATAATTTAACTGTTAATGAGTCTGCTTCAATTATGTTGTATACATTCAATTGGGATACCAATGAGAAGAGTCTTTATTATTTATTAAATGAAACATTACGGATGGAAAAAAGGGACAAACTTCGACCTTGGTTCAGCTATTTAAAACTTTTTCTCACTGCACTTAATCGTCTTCCACGTATAAACGACACCATTTTTCGTGGTGTTAAACTTGACATATCATCTCAATATATCTTAGGTAAACGACAATTCTGGTGGGGTTTATCATCATGCACAGATTCAATGGGTGTTTTGCAGTCAGAACAGTATTGTGGAAAAGATGGACCAAGAACAATATTTTTTATTAAATGTACTAGTGGACGTTCTATAAAACGGCATTCTTTTTACTCCGTTGAAGAAGAAATCCTATTGATGCCTGGTTTCTATTTTGAAATTCACAGTAGCAATGATCTCGGAAATGGTCTTCATTTTATTAGATTGCATGAAAAAGTATCGCCACATGTTATGCTTGCATTGCCTGAGAAACCTGGCATTTTCATAGAGGGTATTTGTCGTAATACTGAATGTTCTCTGTATGATAAAGACATAAGAATCTCATTTGGATGTTGCTGTCTAGATGTACTCGTCGGTTTGGATGAAAAAAACTGTATGTGTCCATTGTGTTTTGAATACACGGAACCTCTTAAATTTGGATTCATTCATTGTTCATGGCGATGGTCAGGCAGAAAAAAAGATAAACCATCAACACCACCTGTAAATTGTTCAAATGACTGGATCAATACTGATGTCCCAACTTACTTTCAATCAAATAATGATAGCGATTCGACAACAACATGGCTAAAATTAGTTATTGAAGCTAGAGAAATATCTTCATGATGAATTCTTGGAATCGAGGGCCTTTATACTATATTGCATGAGTACTTAAATGAAATGGGAAAATATTGAATAAAATTTAATTTAGACGAAACAAAATACAAAACTCACTAAATCAGTGTAAAATTAATTCGTGGCCAACTTTAGTGAGGTATTATTACGAAAAACAATAAAAACATGCATGAATTAAATTAATAATGACTTGATTCAGATAAAAAAAAGAACGCATTCGAAATTTTCCAAGTTTTAAATCAATATTCAGAAAGCCAAACTTCCACTCAATACAGAATAATATTCCTAGGTAGAATAATAATTTTTCTTCTATTCTTAAGCTGCATTTTTATTCAACAACAGTTTTTCGCTAGTCGTCCAACATTATTAAATTCATTAGATCGAAATTATGGAAAAATTTCAAACTATTTTTCTTGCTAATATCATGTCACACAATTGCTGTCTGTAAAAATGTTTGCTTTGAAAGTCTATTTTTTTCTCAATTTTGATTCGAAAACGAATCCCGATATAAGTATATGTCGCGGATACCTTCGTACCACTTGAAATATATATCCAAATGGAATATACTTAGACAACGGTTTTAGGATGGATGACAATCTGTTGAAACGTCTCATTGATAATATCTTATTTGGCGATATCAATCATATTCATAGAAATATTAATTTTAAATACATATCAATTTAACCTATATTACTGATACAACAAGAAGAAATGTTGTTCATAGTATTCATTTTCATTAATCTAAACAAAATATATCTCTATATATCTTCTCCTTTGTTTCTATTCACTAATCAGCGTTTCTAATAGGAATCTAAAACAAAAAGTCAAATGACGTTTTACTTTTGCCATTACCGTGTAAAGTGACATTTTGTTTTTTTAAACAAAGTGTCACAAAGTTTCCAAGGTATAAATGATTAAAATTACATTAAAAGAGAGAATCCTATGAATAAATTTTGTACATAGTATCTGGTTGCTTTCCCAATCGGGAAGATAATTACGGCCAGTTTAGTACTTGATTTTTGTTTAAATTTGACTTGTTAGAAGTTTCGTATTCAATGGAAGAAGACACGTGTTGAATATCAGCAACGTTTGATGATGAACATGAAGATTCACTGGCAATAATTTCAATTTCATTTCCTGGTTCGTCAAATATACATGAAGGAATAGAGTCGGGTGTATATGATGATGGAGAACGAATTTGTTGTTGATTTTCACGTGGTGATAAAACGTTCGTTGGTGGTTTTGGACTTCTAATCCAAAGTTCAATTAATTCTATTTGTTTTTTGTTCATCTGCTCTAAAAAGAAAGTGGTGGCAAGTCTTAGAAGATATAAAAAAACAGCTTTACTTGTGATTTCTATTTTTAAAAATAAATAACACGAGCAATTAATATGCATAAATTGTTGAGAAACACGTAGAGATTATTCGATCACAACAATAGCGAAAATAAATAAATAAATGGCAATAATAGTAAAAACAATAGATGAATTCAAATGGTAATAATAATAATAAATAAATAACAATAGTAGCAACAACAATAAATGAATTAAAATGGTAATTAAAATGATAATAAATAAAGTTCAATAACAAAAACAACACTAAATGGATTCAAATGATAATAACAACAATAAATAAATTCAAATAACAATAACAATAGCTACAATTGTGATAAATTGAGAAATGCTTTAATGAATGAACCAATTAATTTGAAGATGTCAGTATACGAAGAATATTTCGAGTAAATATAATTAGGGAGTTCTAAGGTTACATATAATAAAAAGGAAAGTGTAAAAAAATTTCAGCAAGTATCAACTTGACACTTTGTTTTCATGAGCAAAGTGTAAAACAAAGTGTCAAATCAATATTGCAAGGTTCTTTGACTCTTTGTAACAAAGGCGGACTCTTGCTGTTAGAAACACTGTCACTAATACATAAACGAATAGGAAACAATGTACATTTCGATGTTGTTGATTGATATTTATCATAATAGTTATATTAGAATTATTTACGATATTATTTTATGTGAATCGGTAAACATGCAGTGAGCCTCGTCTCAACTGAAAACAAATCATATGGGATGCATTTTTGGAATGTCAGATCTACTCGACTTCATAAACACAAAAAGACTTTTTCAAAATTTCCTACAAGTTTCTAAGCAATCAAAGTTCAAAATATGTTGTGTTACTTAACTTTATTGGACTTGAGCTGAGGAGTAGCATTCGAATTCTCCTCTTGTTATCTTTTAGTAAAGTCGTTTTACTTTCGATTTCTATTTACGGAAAAAGTGTTTGTCGTCATCTAATTCTATAAGAATACAACAGTTTATTTCTTGTATTGCTAAATCATGTCTGTAAGATTAAATATTTTAAAATCTTTCTGAAAAATTTTAGAGAAAGATACAAGTTATAGTACATGAATGAGTAATAATGAATAATGATAATTGCACAGAAATTGATTCTGAAAAGCGTTCTTAAAAGTATAAATCATGAGAATTTCATCAATCGAATGACAATGGCGCGATTCAATCTACTTTTCTTCTTGACATTAAATATAATGAAAAATGTATTTTAAAATAAATAAAATTTGCCGTTCTTTTACTTGAAAGCAAACTCTTATCTTATTCTGACACCCCATTACGGGTTATATATTATTGTGAGAGAATAGGAAAAAAAGATTATTTCACAGTATACATTCTTTAGCCTAATAACACTTTTCTTTAGCCTAATAACACTTCAAGTGTTGTAGTTCAATCAGTCTGTAACTCATGGCATGGCGATTAATATGTGATCGTGGTCAACAAGTATGGAAATATTTAAAAAATGAAAATTCAACTTCAATTGATTTTGATAAAGAAAATTCAAATAGCGCCGATAAAGTTTATCGAGCATATGCAATTCAACAAAATTATAAACCATTAGATATTGATGAAAGTCAATATGAAACATTAAAGATTCTAATATTCAATGAAGAATTTTCTGTGTCAGCAGTAAAAAGTGTGTTAAATACAATAAATTATTATTCATCATTACAAGTTGAAGATGGCCATTGGCCTGGAGATTATGGTGGCCCAATGTTTTTATTACCTGGTGCAATAATTACAGCTCATGTAACTAAATTTTATTTTACAGAAGAACAAAAATATCAAATGATTAGATATTTATTTAATCATCAATTAGATGATGGTGGATGGGGAACTCATATTGAAAATAAATCAACTATGTTTGGTACTGTTTTAAATTATATATCATTAAGATTATTAGGAATTCATTTTGATGATCAACGCATACAAAATGCTTATAGTTTTATTCAACGTGAAGGTGGCGCTATGTATGCACCAAGTTGGGCTAAATTTTGGTTATGTGTATTAGGAGTAATGCCGTGGGAAGGTATTAATTCATTATTTCCTGAATTGTGGTTACTACCTGAATGGTTACCTGTTCATCCTTCTCGATATTGGTGTCACTGTCGAATGGTTTATGTACCGATGAGTTATGTTTATGCTGAAAAAATTGTTGGAGAAACATCGTCACTTATTAAAGAATTACAAAATGAATTATATGTTGATAATTATGAAAATATTGATTTTACAAAACATCGAAATACAATAAGTTCATTAGATTTATATGCACCTCAAACAACTTTACTAAAAATATTAAATTTTTTTACCAATGCATATGAAAATCTTTATAATCGTCAATTACGAAATAAAGCAAGTGAATTTTTGATCAATTATATCGAAGCAGAAGATGAACAAACAAATTATATTGATATTGGTCCTGTGAATAAATTTATTAATATGCTATCAATATGGCATTCAAAAGGACGTCAAAGTAAACAATTTGAATTACATTTAAATCGAGTAAACGATTATTTATGGTTAAGTGAAGATGGAATGAAAGTTCAAGGTTATAATGGATCGCAATTATGGGATACAGCTTTTTCAATTCAAGCAATTTTAGAAACAGGATTAGCACACTTGTATAACAATTGTCTCAATTCAGCTTATAATTATTTAGATATAAGTCAAGTTTTAGAAGATGTTAAAGATTACAACACATTCTATCGTCATATATCAAAAGGTGGATGGCCTTTTTCAACAAGAGACCATGGCTGGCCAATAACAGATTGTACTGCTGAAGGACTTAAAACAACATTATTATTACATGAACAAATATTTAATTGTCCACGTACAATAACATCTGACCGTTTAGAATATGCTGTTGATTTTATTCTCAGTACTCAAAATAAAGACGGTGGATGGGCATCATATGAACTTCAACGTTCAGGATCTTGGATAGAATATTTAAATCCTGCTGAAGTTTTCAAAGGAATAATGGTTGATTATTCTTATGTAGAATGTACTTCGGCTTGCGTACAATCATTATGTAAATTTCGTTTACAAATTCATTGTTCTAATTATCGACGAAAGGAAATTGATGTTTCAGTTCGTCGCGGTATTGAATTTATCAAAAACTCGCAGCGAATAGATGGAAGTTGGTATGGAAGTTGGGCAGTTTGTTTTACATATGGAACATGGTTTGCTATTGAAGCTTTAGTTACTGCTGGAGAATCAACTAAATCCAAAATAATTAATGAATCTGTAAAATTTTTACTATCAAAACAAAATTTAGATGGAGGTTGGGGTGAATCTTATTTAAGTTGTGTTTACAAATCATATATTCATCATGAACAGTCTCAAGTTGTTAATACAGCTTGGACAGTTTTATCATTAATGTCAGCAAAAGCAGATTCAATTGCAATTCAAAAAGGAATTCGATTTATTATCAATAAACAATGTTCAAATGGAGACTGGAATCAACAAGGCATCAGTGGAGTTTTTAATGGAAATTGCATGATTAGTTATACTAATTATAGAAATATTTTTCCTATTTGGGCTCTTGGTAGACTTATTAAAAATAATTCTACAAAATAATAAACAATTCTTTTTGTTTCTGTTTCTAAATTTTCTTAACTTAAATATTAATCATGTTTTTTGTTGTATGAATTTTAAATGCCTTAAATAAAGTGAGAAAATTGTCATAGTTAAAGTCAAATATAGTCATGAAGATAAATCATATGAGTAAAACTCATCATTATGGTGCGATCTTATTTATATGTAAAAAAGAAACATCCAATAGATATGCAAGACACGTAAATCATCAGATTTTTTGAAACAAATCATCTTATCTTTTCAGGAAAGAGAAATGAAATGTTCTATAAAAGAGCAATACATATTTATATATTCACCAGAACATATATGTTTTATCAACAATGTATTTGATTCTATTAGGAATTCTTATTGGAATAATTTTGTATATTACTTATAAAAGAAAGAATAAATTAATCAACGATGATTCCAATATGAAATATGATCATGCCATAATTATGGGTGGAAGTATTGCTGGAATGACAACTGCTGCTTATTTATCAAAATATTTTAAACGTATCACACTTATAGAAAGTGATGATGTCTTAAATGAAACATTAATGAAATCAACAGCTAACGAATTATTAGATTATCGTTGCAATTTAAAATGTTCAAGTTCATTAGGTCGTGCAGGTGTAACTCAAAGTTATCAAATTCACGTTTTACAGGGTGAAGGAGCTAATATTCTATTTGAATTATTTCCTAATCTAAAAGCTAAACTAATAAATGAATATGGTGCTTGTTTATGTTCATTGAAAAATAAATTTCGATTTGTTATTGGTGATGTTTTATTAAATAAAAATTTAACGGAAGATCTTCATTGGTTTTGTATCGATCGTTTTACATTAGAAACGATCTTAAGAAGAGAATTATGTTTACAATATGATAATGAACAAATTCAATGGATGTCAAATACGAAAGTAACACAATTAATTGTAAATCAATCAACAAATGCTGTTCTTGGTGTTAAATATCGATCGAAATTAAATTCCGATACAAAAATGCAGCTTTATAGTGATTTTATAATTGATTGTACTGGAAGATATAGTTCATCTATTAAATGGTTAAAAGAAAATTTCGATTTAATTCTTCCAACCGAAGAATTACATACAGGAACGGGTTATGTTTCGTTTGTTGGCGAAAGATTTAAGACAGGAAATGTATCATTAGACTCAATACACGTTGGTGGAAATGCAGCTCATGCACCAAATCATAATAAAGGTTTTCTTACGACTCCTATTCGACAAATAAAAAGCTCTGATCCAAATTCACTAGGGCTATTATCAAACTTTGCTGTTTATTGTGTCAATTCTGAATATCCTCCAAATGATTCATATGAAAATCTTTTAGAATGGATAAAAGAATATCTTCCTATCGACTATTATTTAATTTTAAAATCAACAAAACTATTAAGTCCATTACTACCATATCGACGTGCTTTTGATTCTCGAAAATATGTTGAATTACTTGGGCGAAAATGGCCACTCAATTATATTCTATTAGGAGATGCAATGTGTGTATTCAATCCAAAAAATGGTCAAGGAATGACTCATGCATGCCGACAAGCAAAACAATTAAATGAAATATTTAAACAAAAATATCATTTAAAAGATATTTCATTTATTTATAATCGTCAAGCATCATCAATTAGTGAAGAATGTTGGCTTGGTTCAACTACAAATGATTGGGCTGTACCAACATTAAAAGTAATCAAAACTGATCAATATGGTAAAACAACGACTTATCAACGAAGTGAAGATTCAACATCAAATTATTCTCAACCTAAAATACCTTTATTTATGCAATTTTTACAATGGTATACACATTGGTTAATTAAATGTGCTGCTCAATCAGGAGAACTATCAACAGCTTTTCTATATGTTGTTTTTCAAGAAAAAACACCATACTCATTGTTACAACCAAAGTTTTTCTTGAAAATTCTTTATTCGTCTTTTAGAAATTCTTTTAATTTAACGAAAAGTCTTTTCGATTAAGTATTTTTTCTTTGTTAATAAAAACTAACATTTGATTAGAACGAAAAGTTTTTTTTTAAGATTTATTGTCATATTATGACTAATCAAAATACCGCATAATAGCCGCATGGTGACATAAGATTCGAAAGAATTTTTTATCAAGAAATAACTAAACTTACTCTAAAACTTTGTACGAAAATTATCGTAGAATATGGCGTGATCTTCACCTGTTTAATTAAAAAAATGTAAAGTTTGATTTCGACTTATCTTTTCATTTTTGTTATGTTTCCATACTATTTCACCTTATCAGCTATCTTGAGGAGAAGAAAAAGAGGTTCGACATGACTGTGCAGAGAAACATTGAAAAGATAATAGCCATATTGTTTAGTATATGTTTATCCACTGATTAAACTTAATTTAATGTTAAATCGAAATGTCAATGTAAAATTGGCAAACAGAAAGGAATTAACTTCTGCCGTTTCTACTATAACATCAATTCAATTTATAAAATTCATGAGATTTAATAGCTATTTCAAAAATGATATTGTTCCTTGCAATGATTGTACTATAAGTAAATCCTTTTTTCAGCAATCATTCTTTATGAATATATTTATGAAAAGACATAAAAAGTAAAAATCGTGCAACTTGATCAGTGTAATATTATAAGAAAAAATTAAAGAAATAAGATCTTCTAATGATTTTCCTTTAATTTCTACTTACAGTTGTTTATTGACTCGAAATCATATATACAGTTTTTGTCGCAAGCAAGTAGTAATCCTGCGACATCTGTTTGCAAATGGCTATATTATATTTCTCGAATCAAAAAATATATAAGTTTTTTTCTTCCTCGTGTTATGTTGTGTTGAACACTTTTTAAAAATTTCATTTCTTTGAATCTAAGGGTAGAAATTCATAGTACTAGAAATGACATTAGCAAGTTCAATACGTGCTCCACTTGAATGGCCTAATATCGATGTATTTACTTTGGGTAAATCATGTCTTTATGGTTATGATTCAGTAAATCATTGTCTTGTCGTTCATTCTTTAATACAAATAAATAATTTAAATGATATTTCCATTGATCATCTTTATCTTTCATCATCACCAACATGGCCTATTCGACGGTTAAGTCTAAATGAAGATGAAACTATTTTGGCACTTTTAGCAGAGAAAATTGTTTATCTAGTTTATTTACCACAACCAGATATAAATATCAATGATAATTCATCTTCAAAAGGTTTTCTATTGAGACAAAAAAATGCTGATTTTAAAACTTACATATAATTTTAGGATCTTGTCTATGTCCAATAGTTCGTGTTCCTCCATTAGTGTCATCTTCACAAACAATAAGTTGTTCTCTAATAGATTTTGTTTGGCTAAATTTAAATCATTTTCTTATTGTCTATACAATTCCATCATCATCTGAATGTTATCTTTATAAAGTTCAATCATTAAAACAAATTGGAATCGTACATCTTCATACATATTCAGTTGGATCATGTTCAACAAATAAATTTCGAACACCAAATAAAAAAATCTCTCTTCATCAACCGTCAGATATTATTAAATTAGATGTCACAACAAGAAAAGAACAGCATTCACAATTGATTCTTGTAATTGCAATGAAAACTGATGGTGATATTTTTATATTAGAAATTGATGAAAATCAACTTCAATCAAAGTAATTTTTATCTTCTTTTAAATATAGAAAACATTGATTATCGGTCTTTTATTTCAAATAATTTTTAGTGATAATAACAAAATCTTTGAAGAATTTCACGGTCCTATTTGTATTCTTCCAACAACATTTAATAATTATGGGGCTGATCATGGTCAATCGACATTTATCTGCTTATCGAATTCTATGTATCCTCTTGTTGTAATTACACGTGATAAATGTCAAATGAATCAATGTGTTATATTATCTCCATCATCAAATCAATATTATTTATTTACGATTGATTTAATTTGTTTACCAATAAATCAAAATGGACAAATGATCACATCCATAATTCGAGATCCATTTTATTCGAATAGATATTTTATTTCAGATTCATCGGCAAATGTTTATTTAATTGAAATATCATGGATTAATCAAATTCAACAAGGATTAAAACAAGTTCAGTCAACACATATTCAACATTTAATTACTGAGACAAATTCAACTTGCAAAATAACCAATAAAATTGAACAAATGGGCTTAATACAAACAAATAATAATGAAAAATACTTGACAATTATTGCTAAATCACAAACAAATCAAAAAAAGGTTAATTTAAAAAGCTCTATTAAATCCGTTGTTTTTATTTCAAAAGATCTTTGATATATTCAATATAATATAAGACACAAACATCTTCATGAAATATGATCAACTCTTTACGAAAAACAAATTATTTATAATTTAGTTATAGTTAAAATTATCCGTTCTATTATTTGGATAACTGCAAAAGAAATCTAGTTCTTCTTACTAGAACATAAAATATTATGTTTGTCTATTGAACTGTTCGAGTTTAGAACAATTCAATATCAAATTAAACATTGAGTTAAGTTGTTTTTTTCGAAATTGATATCTGAAACGGATACAAACATGAAACAAAAATAGATAAAATAATATCGATGAAATAGATTATCAGTAGAATCAATCATAGACAGGCGTTTAATAACAAGCTCATGATATATCTGCTAAAAATTTAAATTGACTTTTCTATAGAAAATAAAAAGAAATATACAAAAAACACTACAACTAATCATATTTATCATTTTGTTTTTATTTTAGGAATTAATTTTTGTTCGTTTACAACCAACAGAATCTATTGAAAATGCATTGTTCTTATACAAATCAGAAACATCAACATTCTCATCGGAATTTGTTGATCGTATTCGTTCATTGCTTTCACGTGAACAATCGATTCCTTTTATAACACTTTCAACATCATCAATAAATATTTCTGATTCAGATTTTGAAAGAAATCTTTTACAATTCATTAAAATTTTGACTGAGCAATATATTGACAAACAAGAAAATGTTCGGAAAGAACTTGAAAATAAACGAGTTTATTTAGTTGATTTTCAACAAACTGAATTCAATCAAACTAGAAACCTCAATGAAAAATTTCAACTTATTCAAAAACGATTTCAAACGTTGACTGAACAATATCAACAAGTAATAATTGTTTCTTTGGTATTTTTTGCTTAATTTTTAAATTTAATTTTCACACTAAAGGAATATTCTCGTCGAAAACGTCTTTCATCACATGTTAATGATCTTTTATCTGTAATTGAACAAAGTACACCAGTTCTATCAGATGCTGAAATACGAATGGAAAAACAATTAGAAACATATAAAATGCAAATCAATTGTCTCAAACATAATATTCAACGTGTGCAACAATTCATATTATCAAACCAAAATCAAGAATTATTTGACAATTTACCGATGGAAAATTTTCAAAATGTTGTTCAAACTCATCGAAATCATATTGATCAAATAAGAAAACAAATACAATCTGTTCAAACTAATACATAACTTTTTTTCATAAAATTCAACTTTTTCTATTTTGTTAAAATATATGTTAAAGTCTTATTGATAAATTTCAACTAAATAAGGTCTATATTATTCATTTTGAAATTGAGAATAATTTTCTAATTGATATGATTTTCAATAGTTTCTTCTTTTGTTTGATAAATCAATTTTTTGAATAGAATTCTGGATCACTTTTATAATTTGGTTAATTGATTTCTTATCAATAAAGAATACTGACACAAAATACAATCATTTATAATCTATCAACATCTGATCTTGCCGAATATTTATCATATCTTCATTTTACAGTAACTAGATGGATACTAAATGAGTTCTTCATCCGCATCTGAGAAATATTGACCTACTGAACATATTTTAGTATTAAATAAAGAAAATAATTTCGAACAAAATTGCTACGATTTGTTAATGTCTTGAGAATTCGATTTAGTAGAATTTATTTCGATGGTTAGTCGTTCATATCGTATCATAATCAATAATTGTACAGTAGTTGACTCGAGGCATATTGTAACTTGAATCCGAAAAACTATTGTAGATTCTTTATGTAAAACCTAATGGAAATAATTGCAGTTGAGAGAATTAGCTATAAGATAAAGACGTTAGCATCTACATTCTCGATTTCAAGTTTTCTTTTTGCTATTCGTAAGAGCAACAGACCATTGAGTCACATATAAAGGTGAGTTGATGAGGAATTTGAATTTGCGGCAAATTCAAAATGCTTATACCGCTATATCCAAGGGGAAAACGGCGTACTCCGGTACTTCTAGAGTACATGAAGTTCATGAAGTACGTGGAACACAAGGGAGTACACGAAGTACAATCAAAGTACAGAAATTGCAAGTTACAATAAATTTCATAAGTATTAAACAAGTCAAGTAAACTTCTATTTTTCAAAAATTATCATAGAATAGTAAGAAGAGATAATATACGCAATAAAGAGAGAGAGAGAGCTTCTAGGGTACCATCATCAGACAAAATATTGCGTTTTCTTATATCCGTTTGCGTGAGGTGTCTATGCTTATCGTTATCATGAACCTGTACTTCGATTTGCAATGACTTTCCATGTATTAAGCGGAAATATAGCTTATGAATTCGTACGATTGAATGTGCCAGCTGCTCTTCCAGCGTTATCTACGCTTCAGGGGGCTTCCTTTAAATAAACAGCATCGAATGAAAGAAGCTGAATTTCGTTTTGATTCGTTATCAGCACACAAGAATTCGCTTAAAACAAATATAGCATTTGCTGCAGAAGACTGTACAGTAGGGGTGGCACATTTACTTTAATTTTTGAAAAAGTAAATAGGTAAAGTAAATAAAATATTTACCCTTTACTTTTGTAAAGTAAATAAAATATTTACTATTTACTTTGGTAAAGTAAATAATTTTTTTTTGATTTAGTGATACTTCCTACCTTAAAAAACATTTTTTTATTTAATTTACAAAAATAAATAGTAACTAGATGGTATTCTAGTTTCACTCGACTACGAAATGCGGTGCGAAGCACACGAGCCGAATATGCGAAAGTAGTGAGAATAAGATTTTTAAAAATAAATGATTCACTTTAAGATTCATTACAAACGTTTATTTTTTTTTAATTTCCGTATACGAATTTTGAATAAAAATTTCGCATTCACTATTCTTAAATCGACCATTTTGAAATTCATCACTAGGAAATCTCTCTGAAAATGTAACAACCAGTTGTCTAACAATTTTTTNCCAAAACATTATAAGTAGAGAAAACAATTAAGACAATCGCAATATGTAATTCATGAAAATGATATATTTAATGTAGAAATAATAACAAAAGTAGTTTGTCAAGAATATAGTGATGCTGCTGATTTTCTTTCTCGTTTCAAAATTAAAATTTTCTTAATACGAAAAAGATAACAAATATCAAAGAAGCTAATAACTCCATGGAAAGTTTATTAAGGAAAAGAATAAGCATTCAAGATTATTCTGATTTAAACGAAGAGAACGAATCATCAGTTTCCGGAGAATGAATCAGATGAAATGTTAGGTTTAGAAAGTGGTGTTGACAGTGAAGATCAATAACATGAAGCATCAACTAACTCTTCAGATCGAATATTCGACGATTTAGATGGGATAAAATTTCATGATATACGAGTATTTGATAAAGTTCGTCCCGAATTAGAAAAATCTTATTTTCAATTGGAAATCAATCAGAAGAGAAAATTTATACACAAACAAATTGTTTGTTGGATTTTAACAGAAAACAAATCGGTCTTGTCGAACGATCGTCTGGTGCGTGTAATTCAAAAATAGGACATGATGAAGAAAAGAATTACTAGGATATTTTGTTTTTGTTTAGTTTGAAGTTACTGTTTTGACTTTTTTTCGCATTGACACATTTAAAGATACATGAAATATAGGAGTATATCATTGTGTTATGTTTAAAAAGGAAATCATGTTGTTTGATCCGATAGGTAAAAAGAATATAATACGAAACAAACTATTGAAAACTACCATAACTTAAATCAATGGTTGAGTTAGTAGCTGTTTATATATTTTTACAATAGACAGACTACATTATAGTCAGACGATTTGATGTCTTCGATCATTAATGCCATCTGTAGAGCTATATTCTGTATAGGCATTTCCTTTCCTTTTGTGCAACGGTATATCAGAATATATGAGAAAAGAAAAGAAAGCAACATGCATTATGAATTGATTTTCCTTTGTTTTTGATTAATTCTATGATAGACATATTTATATTTATATATATCAACACTCTATAGACGAGATACAATCACATTTCATGCTACATTGATTGTATTAATGCAAAAGTTCGATTGAGTAGCATCACGCAATTGATATTTTCTATGTTCATGTTTTTGAATATTTTTCATCAAACGAAATTGTTTTTGTTTTTAGATATCTAAGTGTTCACTATTCGCTCGTTATAGTAAGTTTATTTATTTTTTCTCTATTTTGTTTACTGAATGAAGCCATTGAGAGGCTCTTTCGTTGTTTTTATTGAAAATTGAACTATATATATATTCTTTTCAGCATCTACATTATGTGTCGAAACAGAAAATTGTCCGGAATCGTAAGTTAAATATTAGAGGGATGAAGGTGTATATAGACATTTAGAATGATTTTACTTTCTTTAACGCTTCTTTGACGCATTGTTGCTTTTCATATATGCATATATCTATATTCTCTATATATATATATTGTCTGATTATGATGCTAGATTCGTATATGTTTTATTCGATTAGCTTACCTTAGAATGCTTACCTAAAATCTATTTACTTCTTTCAGAAAATGCAACGTGTTCCACCATCTGTAAGATATTGCTCAAAAATAGAATACACAGGCGTTCTGCATGTTTTTATATATTGATTATGCATGCTTGCTCCTTTGCTATGTTCATACTCAAGCATGCTGTTAACTTTTCGTTTGCAGTTAATGATGTCATTTTAAAGACTTCTATTCTATCCAATTTTAGGAAAAATCAATTCATCAACAGTTGATTGAAGCCCATCAAGAAATCGCCAATGTATGTATTTTCTGCATTGTTATATCAATTTATATTATTATTTTACCTTCCAGCTCATTCAACAACAACAAGCACAAGCACAACAATACCAAGCACAAGCACAACAACACCAAGCACAAACACAACAACTACAACAACAGATACAAGATCTAGAACACCAGGTTGCACAACTTCAGCAGGAACTGCAACAAGCTGCTCCTCCACAACCAAATGCAGTACCACAGCAGCCATCACCACCGCTTCAACAGCCGCAGGTACCACAACAACCTTCATCAGCATCTGAAGAAGAACAACAGCACCAAAATTTCGTAACAACATCAGAAGCAGAAGTTCCGCAACATCAGAACCTCAGAGAACGAGGAGCACGTATGCGACGACGGCTCAGACGTTTAGTTCGACCACGTCCTCGAGTCCGTCGTTTGTCATCGACGAGCGATTAGATTAAGGTATGCTTTTCCATTATTGCCATCAATTCTTACCGCACGATTCTAGTTTTTTTTTCATTCTAGATATTGTATATAAATATCAATAGTGAGTACTCCAGAAAAATATACCTCTCTATCACAATGAGTTCCATTTTTTTTTGTTTTTTTAGATTAAAAAAATATTAAAGTTTAAAAAATTACAAAAAAAAACAAAAGTAATATTGATATGTATGTATTTATTTGATTAATATAAAGCATCTGTTTTTCAGTTAGACTACAAAAATTTAACTTATACAATAAAAATGATGATCAATTACTAATGATATAATCTTGTTCAATTCAAGCTGTTTGTCTGGATCTAAATATTTCGAAAATGATGTATTTGTTATTGGCGATACATCAGTAAGTTAATAAAGTATATGTGATTTAAAAACAATATCTTTATTTCTTTAAATAGTTTATTTTGAATGAATGAGAAAGTTTTGGTCGACATAAAACAATAATATTATTTGAATTAAATGGTGAACTTGTTTCTACACACTTCGTTGGAAAGAATCATCGATTGAATTCACTAATGATAAAGTATTTAGTTTTATTATTTGAGAAAAACATTGAATTAAAGAAATTGCTTTATTTTTGTTAGGATGTTCGAGTTGATAATTTATGTGCACGACGATTAGTTCAAGTTGAACAAATCGAAAGTCAAAAAGAGTATAATTTTATCTTTATTAGCAACAACAAAATCAAATCAAATCAATAATTTTATTTAGACTACGTGGTGGTATTGATCGAAATCTATTTCCATTTCCATTTCAACTTGGTAAAAAGAAATTCTAATCATCATAAATGTTTTGATTATTGTTATTTGTATTTATGAATAGGATATTTACTATATGAACATGGTTTTTTTTAAATTCAAAGTCCATATAATATAATTAAAAGTGAACGTCAAGATTATGATGATCATATTGAACTTTTAATAAATAAAAACAAATTTCATGAACGTAATGCAATCCTTCGAAAAATTTCCATATATGAACCAAAGAGTAAGCCAATATACTCGATAGGTAATATATAGAACAAACGAAAATAAAATTTATTTGATTTGATTTTTTATTGTTTAAGCCCAGGTCGAACATTCCGGTCCCCGGATCCCGTAGGATACTCCAGGGAATATGCGGGAAAGTCGCCATATCCTGCAGGAAAACATGGGAAATCGTTGGAACATGGAAGCAGTATTCCGGCCAAAAATACGGCCGGACTTTTCCGGCGAACTCCTGCCAAGTTCCGGTGCTTTCCGGTAGGAATTGATCGGAAATCACCGAAAAAATTTCTAACCGGAATACTGCTTCCACAAAATCAACGGAACTACTCGGAACCGGCCGTTTCCAGGTCGGACTGTTCGACCTGGGAGATGATCTATCGAACAAATGTCAAGTGTTGAATTCATGCTCATGAAATTAAAAAACTACTGAATTATTCCAATCCATTTATACAACAGCACAAGAATGAGAAGATCAACTTGTATTTATTCAACAAAATCAACCAAAGGTAAGTAAAAGAAATGAATAAAAAAGAGCATACTAAAAGCAATGATTATTCTTTTATTTAGATAGTAACACATTTATATTCGAATAAGTAAATATCAAGTTGATACATCTATTTATGAAAAATTATTAACAACATATTTAATGCAGACAAAATATGAAGTCAGAAAAGAAAAACAAGTTTTCTTTTTTGAATTCAATAAGATTTCCATAGAAATCAAACGAATTATTAAACAAATGGTCATCAAATATTTATAATTTAAATTCTATTGAACAATTAGTTCGCTCACAAGCTAATGATGAAAAATATTTTCTACTTGAATGTTCAGTAGCTATGTAAAAAGGTTCCTGTTTTTTTTTTCATTTTGTTAATAATATTCATTGCGTCTTTTTTTCTAGAGTGGAAGAACAAGGAAATGTAATGAAAAGATCGAATATTTATCTAGAGTAAATTTAGATCAATATGTTTATATGAATGATTCAATATGTTTGCTTTTTTTTTTAGAATGAACGATCCACAAATATTTCAATTAATTAATCGTAAACAACTTTATCGAGATATTTTGCCTAATATTGAAAAGCTTCGATTAATTTGATAAAGAAGTACGTTTGATAAACTTAAATTTAGAAGAAAAAAACATAAGAATAACAATAATTTCAAACATAAGGATGAGAACACATGATTTATATTTGATTATTACAAAATTAATAGGATAAAAGCTCTTATGTTTAAGTTAAAGTCTTGCTTCGATTTGACTTTTCGAATTCGATCTAAAGCCTTGATATAATTTATTTATGCTCGATAAGACATTAATAACAGTCTCTAGGTCTGATGATTTCTACAATAATATGTCACTCATGTAAGATGTGAGTAAGAAATGAGGAAAACAAAGAGTAGAAATCTCTTGCGAGCATATCTAACAAAGAGATACAGAGTTGTGTATAACCTTTTGCTTGAAAAGTAGTCAAGTTCAAACGCCAAAAGACATAAAACGGAAATTCTTTACCAAATGACAGCTTGTCAATAGCAGTATTTAACAGTAGAATTCGTCGTTCATAAGACTAGAATGATTCATCGAATTAGGAAAAGTTTCCAAAGTTTAAGGATATAGCTGGACAATTTTATGGATAGCCAACTAAAAAATATGAAGCTCTCAGAATTGCTTTATCTACATAAATGATGTTTTTAGAGCTCACTTTGCTCATCATATTGGTCCAAAAAAAGTTTAAATTAGGTCAATGTATAATGATGCTAGGATCAAAATGCTCTGGTTGATATAGCGAAAATATTTTTGAACATGTTGAACCTACGTATATCTCTAAAATTTTGAAAGTTTTCATAATTGAATAGCTTATTCGCGTCTTAAATCTTGCTTTTGACAAGTTTTCATTTGTTATGAAATTCACTTTGATATGTTATAGAGTTTGAACTGTACCTCAACTCCCTAGTAAAAGATGATGAATAGTCCTGTCTATGAAACACTGTTTATTCGATAACTATTAAATTCAATGTTATGATTGAAATTTTTTAAAATATTCCATGAAAAACAGAAAATAGTGTAGTAATCCCTTATCAATAATTTTTTTGAGATAAAAAACATCATGTAGAATTCATCAGTTAATTTAAAGTATGAATATACAATAGAATTTGAATTTTCTTTAAAGTTTTCTTTCTCTAGTTTTTGTTTTACAGTTGACCGTTCATCTAATCACTAATCATATGAACAAATTACTTGTAAGAGTATATAAATTATAATTTGATTATTTTAATTGTATAAAATATTAGGTTCGGATCAGTTTGTAGCGCATTACAAGATAGTTTTCGATATTTTCATGCTGTTTGTATAAATTCATAATAGAAGAATTTAATTATTCTCTTTTTCTTCATAGTATCTTGATGGAATCTGTTCAAAAAATTTCAATGATTCTCGTTATTTTCATATAAAATAAGTTTCATTCAATGTTGATTATGAACATGATAAATTAATGAAATTTTCATATAAACAAGAAATTATAATTTACAAGAAGCATTAGCTATTTGTGATAAAAAAAAACAGGACTATATAATCAAACTCATTTTCTTTGTGGTATGAATTTGATTTTTTTTGTCTAAACAAATTGAAATATATATGTATATGCTATAGGACAAGCAAGAAAGACACGTGTTTCATTACAAATAATTCTCGAAAAATTAAATGTTATTGAAAAAGTTCTACGATTTTGTTGTGAAAAAAGTGGTCAATCACTATGAACAACCTTTTCTGAAGAATCTATTGATAAATCAGGTAGAAGTAATCTTTTTGATTTGAATTAAAATTTTAAAGATAAAATGTTTTTTTGTTGATCATAGATTTTATTAGCGAATTATAAAATCATGCTGATGGTGATATTAAATTACAAGAATTACTGAATAAAATTAATGAAGACTTACGAATACCTCATTGATGTAATTCATTATGTAAAACAATGCAAGATTATAATATTCAGGTAAATATTCTTGAAAAAAATAGCTTTATAAAGTAAGAAATATGCAAAAATATGACTAGTTTGACAGTACAAAAATAAAGAAAACGTTTCTCCGAGTTTTGATGAAAATTTGACTAGTCGTAGAAATATACAAGAGAACGCTTAGAATGTTTGTTTATGAATTCGAATAAGAACTCTTTTATATTCTTAATATTATGCTAACTTGTTATATTCATTTTTCTGTCTTAGAAATGTCTTAGATTTAAATTAATTTACTCCAAATATAAATTTATCTTATTTCTGTAATACAACATAAAATTCCTAAACAAAAAAATCTTAAATATGCTGATGTAATTAACAATAATAATATAAAATTTCGTTATTTTTTTTAGGTGTCTTTATCGAAATACTGTCGAAATATAATCGTTCATGATTGTTTAGCATAACACAAAAAAGACAGAAATATTATTACAATGTGCTCATTTAATCAATGATAATTCATTTTTATGTTTTATTTTTAAAATATATCTTTGATATTTATCTTTTAAAAACAGAAGCACATCATTATGCTAAATATCATAATCCTGTATAAAGTCTTGGTAAAAGGACATGTGTCAAATCGTCATCTAGAAGGCCCAAAAAATGTTAACCTCATTTTATTATTCTGGGACTCAGTATTGATCCCTGCTTATTTTTCACAAGTTTATTTTGCATTTTATCATAATTCAATTTTTGACACCTGGGGTACCTCTCAGGCATTGAAAACAATTTTCTATCGTCGTTATATCAGAAGTCTTTATAGTTTGATAGAGCAAAGTGTGCTGAGTACAAATGACACATTTTTTTCAAAAGTATTCGGATAAAAAGAAATATCTGAAGTACTCTCTAGAAGCCTTAAAAAGCTGTTTTTGGCCAGAAAGCTCATGATAAGGCGAATTAGGTTTCTCGAAAACAGGCTCATTTGACGCAGAATTTTATTTTCTATCAGCTTCTGTAAGAATATCTTACTTGCTCAGATATTTTTCTGTTGATAAGTGCGAAATACCGTCCAACTGGACAGACATGAAGAATATACCCGCCTGCGCCAAGATTGTTGGAGGATTTTTTTCAAAATCACAGCAGATTCTGCATGTCTGCGGCTAGATCACATAGTGACTCATAATAGATTTTTTTCACTCCTATAAAGATATGGTTTTCATGGGCGTACCAAGTTGATTGCTTTTAGTGAATATGTAATTCTATATGCTCTTTTAGATGTTATCATTTTTGACTTGAAATTCAGTGTCTAGTAAAGCACAATTGCTATAACTACGCTACTTCACAGCCAATTTCTCTATTTTTGACCATTTTCCGGTAGAGCAGTCTGAATTTGTATTCGAAAAAACAATATTTTTGGAATCAACATTCAAAACGCGATCCATCTAAGTTATCTATATTTCATATTGCTTCTGCGACTTTTTTTTCAGTCGAGGGTATGGTTGTACATTAGATGAAGGCCGACACCCACACTCTAGAATACGGCTTACAACAAAATATATCTATTTATATTTCATGATAATAGAAGAAAAAAAAGGCCAATAAGCATCAGTGAGAAAATTCACGCCAAGATTGTTTTCTAGAATTTCTTGGATTTCAATTTCGGTTGCTCTATTGAAAATTTATTACAAATCTATATGTCTTGCAGAAGTAGGGCAACTGGAAATTGCATTAATTAGTAGAAACAGTGAAGAATTAACGTTTGCATCTCTATCTGTCAGAATTTCTTCTTTCAAATTCACAAGGTTTGCTTTGTTTTCATCAATATATATTTTTTCCGATCTAATCACAAATAGATTTGATAATAAAAATACCAATCAAATTCATGTAAATGTTTAGCTGAGTTGATATGAAGAAAACTTTTATATTTCACATAAATCTATTATCCATATTAATTTTTAAGTCACGCATTGGATAAAGTTCAATCCCACAAAACATCTAAACAGGTGCAAAGAATTCGAAGAGAAAATCAATGGTGAATATTTTTTATGATCTTAGACATCAATCCCAAAATCGTCGCTTAATGTGATGTAAATCATTGCTAACACTAGTCGACAATCTTGACTTCGATCTGTCCAAGGTCTTGTTTTTCTTGAATATCAGACAAGATTCTTTTGCCATTCCTTCTGTACAAGATTCTTGTCTGAAAAAACAGATCTTGACTTTCTGGCAAGATTCGTGTAGACACAATCTTGGCTGGCGAGGCAAGAAATGTCCCGCCAGGCAAGATTCTTGTGTTCTTGTATTCTTGCCTGATTCTTGTGTTCTTGCAATTCTTACATGATTCTTGTTTCTTGCTTT